TACAACAACAACAACAGCAATCTATACAATGAAGGAAGAAAAACCTACGAGCGTTCAAAACTTACTCCCGAAATTAATCGTCCAATGAGGACGTCCGAATCGACGACCTCAGCTTCTTCTCGTCCGGGCTCACGCATTGACATTTCTGTTGACGAAAGGTCCAGATCCAGTGGAATGTCGCAACGCATGTCATCTCAGCAGCCACAACAACTTCCTCATCATCCACAGCAGCATCAACATCCCGGTTCATATTCGTCTCCTTACTTACTACAGAACGAAAGCCTGTGGCCTTCTACGATAAGACAACAACAACTGAAAGAAGAACGAATGTATTACGAACAAAAACAAATTTACAGCAGCAGCAACAACAGCAAACAGCAGCAGCAACAGATCCCGAAATTAACTGCATCGCCATCTGCATCGAGACAGCCTCCTGCGAAACATCAAAACGCTCCTCACCCATTCCAAATTGAACAGCTCATCAGCAAGAACAACTCCAGCGGCAACAACAACAACAAACATCAACAAAACATGTCAGCATCTTATCAACAACCGCAACAGCATCAAGACATGAGGCAGGCCATGAAAAGAGAATCTTCATCTCCAAGCAGAAATTCCACGAAACCGAAAAAGCCAAAACATGAAAAGTTTATAAGATCTCAAGAAACACATCCATCTTTTCTACAGCAGCAGCAACAACAACAACAGTCACATTATCAGATGAAATCGTCATCATCACCTCTCCAACAGAAAGAATCGTACCCGGCAAGTTTGAAAGAGCACCGCCAGTTACAGACCAACAAACAACCTGACCTAAGCGAACTCATGCCTGCGTACGGTGACAGTTTCAAAAGTTTCGTGGACCAAGCGGTGCAGAAGGCCTTCCAACAGGATATGGAGTACGACGTGCCTGAGTATGGGAAAGGCAAGCCCAGCATATTCAACATACTTGATCACTGCAACTACTTGGCTAGCGAGGGTTGCAACAGTATTTTTGGCAACAACAACAACAACAACAGCCACAACAATGATAACAACAGCAGCAGCAACAAAAACAACTACAATGTTAACAGGAATCGAAATTATAGCGCATTCGACGCTGTAAATAGCGACAGTCGAAACGAAGGTACTAAAAAATTGAAATTGGAACAGTATAACTCAGCTGATGGGTCGTTCAATAAGTCGAGAGAGCCAGTGCACAAAATCAAATCTTCATCTTCGTTGTCATCATCTTCATCATCCAGGGATCCAAACTACGATTCAAAATACGAGCTGTTTGATTCGTACGCCAGACCGACGATGGCCCATTCACAGCAGCAGCAGCAGCAACAACATTACCAACAACAAATGACAACCCAACAACAACAACAACAAAATTTCAGTAAACACAAATCAGATGATTATACAAAATTTTCACAGCCGCCTCTCGCTTACCATCAACAACAATTCAAGAATATGGACGCGTCCTCATCATCCTTGCTTGCTTTCGATTACTCTAAACAGACTGTCATGTCGGCTGATGATAGAAAAATGACGTCATCATCACCGACAAATTTGAATAAAAATCATCTCAAAAGATGTAGCGCAGAACTTGACATCAACAAAAGTTGGCCACACGTGACATCCGTTGTCGCCACTACAACAACGACAATCACGACGACCACCGCAATTACTTCACTAGAATCCTCATTCGTTCCCTCATCGCACTCATCATCGTCGTCGTCATCTTACATGTCATCTACGTCATTATCGTCGTCGTTATCTCAAATGAATATCCAGCCATCAATCAGCAGCACCACTACACCACCAACAACAGCAACAACGGCAACTAATCCCGAGGTCAACATCAAAACAGAGATCAAACGACACATACCCAGCCCTCTTGATCCCAAAGAAGTTTCAGCATTGAATTCCACAGGGATGGACACGGATAGCGACACGGTCAGCAGCCCTGCGATTTCCGTTTGCGATCAGAACAACATTTGTTGTGGTGGAGCCGCAGGTGCTGCTGGCGGTAACAGTGGCGGGGGTAGCCACCACAAGTTCAAGAAAGCCCTTCTTAGGAGATTTGCCGACGAGGGAGATAGAAAACCCGAAGACGACCAGCCACAACAACAACAGCCTACGAATAAAAATAAGTATTTCAATAACGCCAAAAGCGGCCACAACGACAGCAGTAGCAGCAGTAGCGGGTGTATCGACGGTTCCAACAACGCTGTTTTAGATAAGCCGGATTACAACAACAACAAACAAAACAAACCATTTAAAAATAACACAAATGCCCCTAAATTAGAGAATAAGTCTGGATCAAATACAACAACAGCAGCAGCAACAACAACTGCTGCTGCTACTGCTACTACTACGTCTAACATTAATAATAACAATAGTAATAACACTACTTCAACGATATCCGATCATAAAATGATAGCAGAGAAGATTAAAAATGATGACGATGAAGACGACGACGATGACGAAAAGGTGAGTGCATTTGCGGTTGAAAGTTTTTCATGTTAAGTAATAATCATTTTCCATAATAATAATAATAATAATAATAATAATAATAATAATAATAATAGACACCTTTTTTTACTCTGATGACTAATTTTCAAATTTTCAATGTTAATGTATGTATTTGTGTGTTATTTTATGTGTGATGTGTCCTATTGTAATGTGTTCAATTTTATTTGTTATTAAATTATTTAGTAGGATCATGTGTCTTCATCATTTTGCTTAAATTTCTGCTGAATAATTAAAAATGAAACGGGTGATAATATTATTTTATTTGCTGTGATTTTCGCTTCATAAATTCTGATTTTATGCTGTATGTTTTACGTGTACTTAATGCGACGTGTTTGTCTTTGCTAGCTTCCAATTTTATGTGTGTGTGTGCTTTTGTGATGAATTTATAATAGAAATGAAAGTCAAATACGGCGCAAGTTAGACTATTAAATTGTGCAAACAAAAAAACAAGCAAACAAACGAACAAACATGTAGGCAGGCAAACGAACGAACGAACGAATGAACAAACAAACAAACAAGCTAACGTTAAAAGTCTGGCTCGTGTTGCTACTGCTACATGCTACACGCACCTAGGTACACGTCTGCAACTTCGTTCCTACTTAATCTGGTTTGTGTGCAGCTTGTAATTATATTCAGAGTAGAAAAACAGGTCAGGCAGTCATGTATTACACCGTAGACGCCGATAAACGAACCCAAATACACGCACGCACACACACACGCATACATAAACAGACACGCGGAAGCAAACACACACACACCACACACAAACGTGAATACATACACGCACTTATCTGCCACACACACACACACACACACACACACACACACACGCACACACATACATACTTAACTTTCACGCATACAAAAACATACAAACTCATACAAACACATACACCTACATGCAAATACTAAGTATAATACTTAAACAAATAACAAAGGTTATTTGACTACAACTAAGCTAACGGAATGCAGTCTATTATATAATTAATATTGTTGTAACCCTTGACTCTCCTAACTACCAACACCGATGCTATAACTTCAATGATCTCTATATCTCCAACTCACCAGTGTTGTAGCTCCCAAACGATCGTCAAGTGTTCGTTATTTCCGTAGGTTCAAGATTTCCGATGGATGAAGACAACTGCTTCAAACGCAAATTTTGTTGAAGGTTTATTTGAACACCAACAGTTATAGAAACATCGAACTGATCCAAGTAACTACATAAGTCGCTTTCTTTCCCTGTTGGAAACCTTACTGTCAGCCTGACTACGCAGGACGTATATATTAGCATGGATTTTTAGCATAGATTCAATATTTCTTTACAATCCTCCATCCAAAGATTAAAAATATAGCAAAGATACAATACCTGCCTGATACTTACCTAATATTTAGGTATTTATCATATTAATTAGGTATATGTAAGTTATAATTATGCGTGTATATATCTTTGTGTATTTGTATATGTATGTGTATTTGCATGTTTATGGGTAGAGTGGGTATGTATCTGTTTGTGTGTCTGTTTGTTTATATGTATTCATAAATGTGTGCATATGTGTTTATATGTCTGCATGTATGCACGCGCGCGCGTGTGTTTACATGTACGTATGTACGTGTACATATTTATGTGTGTATGAGTGTGTGTATGTACATATTTGTATGTCTTGTATTTAGTCAAAGTATTTTTTCTTAACTTTTATTCCGATTAGTTTTATTTATGTATATAATTTTTAACTTTAAGTGCATTTGTTCTGGATTAAAGTTTTCAATTATATAATGAGACTCTTTGTGCTGTCCTGCCTTCATTATTTTCTTGTTGACTTGTTCTTCATGCCTTTGTTCTTTGCCTTTTGTTATTACTTTTTTTGTATAATTTTTATTTTCAATTAGTTAGCAGCATGTCGGGGCGAATAATACATCAACAACATTAACGAAAACATCTACAACATCGGCAGCAACAACAACAACTCTCACAACAACATCAACAACAGCACGTCATCAACAATATCAACAACATTAAAGATATCGCTATTTGTCTCTTCATTTGTTTTTCATACCCAATGAGCTTTTACAGTGATACTATTCAGATAATTCAGATTTATCAGTTCAACTATCTTATTTCATTACTTTTTAGAATTTTCTTTGTCATAACTGTGTGTGCGTGCGGGTGTGTGTGTGCGTGTGTTTGGATATGTACGATTATTATGATGCATTATTAATGAAGAACCGTTTGTGTTACATTATTGGCGCCTAAAAGAATGTATGTCAGATTGTTGTGCGTGTGTGTCCATCTCTGTGTGTGTTCGTTTGTGTGTTTATGTGTGTGAGTGTGTGTGTGAGTGTGAAATATGAATCATATGTTGTGTGAATTGTTAATGTTCATCGTTACAGTAGACTGGCAGAGATACTGTCAGAAATATCATCGCCCATACTCATGTGTAATTATGATTGTTACCAGGGACTATCACTCTAATTGGCCTTCCCTCTCTTCCTCTCTCTCCTCTCTCTCCTCTCTCTCTCTCTCTCTCTCTCTCTCTCTCTCTCTCTCTCTCTCTCTCTCTCTCTCTCTCTCTCTCTCTCTCTCTCTCTCTCTCTCTCTCTCTCTCTCTCTCTCTCTCTCTCTTGACGGATGGATACCAATGATTTTGCATAAATTACTGATCACAGCAGTATTTATATTAGGAGAAAATTATGTTAATTAGCATTATTACAAATTGAAACGAAACGTTTATTTGTTTTCACATTTGTTTATTCATTTATTCTACTATTTTTTCGTTCGTTCGTTCGTTCGTTCGTGCACGCATGCTTACTTAATAATAGACATCATTTGTTAAATACACAAACATACGCACGCACACACACACGCGCACACAGAAAAAACGAGGGAGAGCGAGAGAGAGAGACGAATAATACTCACCCATAAACATACTCACACATACATACACACATATACAGTTATACGACTTCATTTGTAAGTTGTGTTCATTTTCTGAGAAAATTCTAAAAAAAATTAATTTCAAAATGTCAGGAAAATTTCTTCGGGATATTTATTTAATTTTTTTTCATAACAAAATTTTTTCTATTTTAATTGTTGAAGGTTTTCTAAGAAAGGAAGCCATTCTTATTAACAATATTTCTATTACTGTTTTCTGGCTTTCGTTGTCGTTGTTGTTGTCGTTGTTTGTTTTATTATTATTACTGTTGTTTTAGTAATATAATTAATAGTAGTAGTAGCGGTGGTGGTGGTAGTAGTAGTATTAGTAGTAGTAGTAGTAATAGTAGTAGTAGTAGTAGTAGTAGTGTTTGTGTGATTCGTAAATTTATAATATTTTTGGATGATAATTGTTTCTTTAAAAAAAAACCTAAATTCCATTAATTTTTTTTAAATTATCCAACATTCCGTTATTGTTCTTCTCCTCCCTGTTTTTCATTTATTACTGCTCCACATTAGTGTACGTTCTCATTCTCGTTTCAAGGTTTTAAAATTTATTATCATTATTACTGATAATTAGAATGTTATTGTTAAGATTTTTGGTAGTATTTGCAGTAGCAGTAGTAGCAACAGCAGCAGCAGCAACAACAGCAGCCTTAGTAGTAATAGTCGTAGCAGTAGTGGTCGCCGAAACAGTAGCAATAGTAGTAGTAATAACAGTTGTATTGTGTTGTTATTGATTTTTTATTAGTTATTATTACTGAAGATCTGTCTGGTCTGCCGATAGATAGCAAGGAAACATTGTTTGATTACATTTTAATTGGTTAATTGCAATAACTTTAATTTCAGAATAATTAATAAGCCAAAGTGTTTTAAAATATAAACAAATATTTATTAGTATTTTATTCATTCATTCATTCCTTTATTCATCTATTTTTTCCATCACTCAGCAGCCCGTAAGCCCTCCGATGCCCAACCTTGACCTCGAGAACCAATCAGATAACGTCATCAGGGCACCGTCGTCTTCGTCATCATCCTCATCATCTAATAATACTCAGGTATGTGTGTATGTGTTTGTGTGTGCGTGTATGTGTGTGCGAATGTATGTGTGCGCGCGCGCGTGTATGTGAGCAATCGTTCTTATTAATGTATATATATATATATATTAATATTATTATGTAGATTGTGTGTTGTTCTGATGTTTCTAGTAGAGTATGTCGGTTAGGTTGAGACCGTTTTAAGCTGATGGTGTTGGGCTAACTGGCTAGAGGCTGCTAATGTTAGCTAGCACTGGCGTCGGACCTGGCATCTACATTTGGAGTTAGGGAGCTGACGGATTGCTCGATTGTTATTTAAATAGGTTTCAAAATGGTGACGATGATTCAAATTGATTGCTAATAGACCATTTTGGTTTGATAAATTTTCAGTGAGATAATGCGATGAAATCAAATTGTAAGAAATTTGTTGACAAACAATAATCGTCGTCCAAGCAGTCGTAGTAGTTAAAGCAACAGGATGATGATAACCTTTGTTTGACGCTGCTTCTCTTTAGATAGGTAGTTGTTTGCGCTTTAATCCCGTGCGTCTGTTCAAGTCTTTCGCATGTACGTTGAGTATTTGTTTGTATGTGTCTTTGTCTGTGTCTGTGTGTATGGGTTTTGCTGTCTTGATTGTTAATGTCGTGTGCTCGTGTTGTAGGTGCATGTTGGCCTCATTGATTTGTCTGAGAATCAATTGCGTCTCAATTATAATTTAATTGGATTGCTGTTTGCGCGTGTGTTAGTCTGTGTATGTATGTGTGTTGATTGATTGATTGATTGATTGATATCATAATGTGGTTGCTCTGTGGTTAGCTGAAATGTATACTGTTTTACAGTTTAAAATTTAAAATATTCAAATATCGTCAGAGATGTAATAAAAAATTGTTGAAGTATATGTTTGTAATTAATTTTTTTTCCAACTCCTCAGAAATCAGACGAACAAACGACAACTCATTCTACAACAACAACAACAAACGCAACATCATCATCATCATCAACCGCAACGACGACATCATCATCATCATCGTCATCGAAAAAACATCACCACCATCACCACCATCACCATCGACTTGACTCGCATATTGACAAGGAGGCCATTTATGATTTTGGCTCTACCTGCCCCCAGTCCGACTGCGAAACGAAGCTTATGGATAGGTACCAACAGCAGAAGAGTTTTTCCAAAGCTAGAAGTTCGTTTTTGTTCGTTCGTTTGTTCGTTCGTTAGTTCGTTTCGTTCGTTCGTTGTTTGTTTGTTCGTTTATTTGCTGGTTTGCGTGTTCGTTTGTTCGTTTTTTGGTTGTTTGTTTGGTTGTTTGGTTGTTCGTTGGTTGGTTTGTTTGTTCGATTAATTTTTAGTTCGTTTGGTTGTTCGTTGGTTTGTTTGTTTAGTGGCTTGTCGTTGGTTGTTTTTCTTTTAAGTTCGTTGTTTTTGTTGTTTATGTAGATTGTTCACAGGCGTCAAGCACCGCTCTTGACAACTCCTTACTTAGTTCATAATTGAAATCTATTGTTTTATTATCTTTATGAGTATTATTATTATCTTTATCATTATCATTATTATTATTATTATTATTATTATTATTATTATTATTATTATTATTATTATTATTATTATTATAGTTATTATTATTTTTTTTTCTACATTTCTCTTAAATGTGTTTAAAAAAATTGTTTGTTATCAGTCCGATTTAAGTTCGCCTTTTTTCTCTGTGGTGGTTCAGTGTTATTATTATCGTTGATACTTTCTTCTACATTTTTTTTATTTTTGTTGTTTCACTAATCCAGACACTCGAAAAACACACGCACGCACACACACGCACACACACACACACGCAAGCATATTGAATATTACTTTTATTTTATATTTGTATTGTTTTACTTTTTTTATTCACCCTATTCAATGCGAGATCAATTTATTATGCTGCGTGAGTATGTATGTATGTATGTGTGTGTGTGTGTGTGTGTGTATGTATGTGTGTATGTATGTGTGTGTGTAAGTGTGTATGTCTGTGTGTATGTAGGTGTGTATTCATGTATGTATATGTGTGTGCGTGTGTAAGTTGGCACGTTAAATAGTAAATAATATAATGCACTGATATATCGCAAGAATGAATGAATGAACTTAGGGTGAGGCAATGTATAGAAATAAATTGCAGAAGAAAAGTTAAATAAAAATAACTTCACTTACATTAATCATATTGAAAGTCGTGCTAACATACATGCATAAATTCACATATAAACACGCACGCAAACACATTCACACACACACACGCACGCACGTACGCACGCAAGCATACAATCACTCAAACTCATTCACACATACAAAAGTAGATAAAAATTATAAACGAACATGATACCTAGGTTAAGTTGAAGAGTGTAAGCAAATACACTATGTGGATACACACGCACGCACACTTACACACACACACACACACATATACATGCATGCACACGCACACACACACACACACATACACGCATAATTGTGTTGAAATGATTTTTCACATCATACCCTGTTGTGTTTGGTTTGTGCTAGGCTGTACAAGCCTACTTATTATTATTATTATTATTATTATAAGCATATTTGAGAAGTTGTTGAAGCGATCAGAAAAATGTTTATACGCAGATTAATAAAAATAAATTAGATGGTTGTTGTACTTTGGAAATTTTTATCCGTAGATTTACGATGTTGAGTTGCCTTTTTTGGGTTTGAAAAAAAAATTTTTTCGCTTTAATGATTCATTTATATTTACGTTTAGAAGTTCTTTGGAATGTAATAATTTTAATAATATTTTTTTTGATTTTATTTTAAATAATAATTTGTATTAAATTTTAAAAATGTGTATGAATTTATTAATTAAAATTGCTTGCGTGTGTGTGTGCGTGCGCGTGTGTGTGAATGTGTGCGTGTGCTTGTGTGTGAATGCAATTTTTTCATGTTCTTTCATGTTCAGCTAATGCTTCCCAACCATTTTAAGTTTATTTTTCAGAATAAATTAAATTTTTCGTTCATTTTTTACTCTTTGAGGAGATGCAAGTAATAATAATAACAGTAATAATAATAATAATAATAATAATAATATTATTATTATTATTATTATTAACGAGAATGATGATGATATATATGAATATATGTACCTTGAGCTTCGTTTACAGATGTTTTTTTTCTTATTTTAAGTCTTCAGTCTGTTTGTCTGTATGTTTGTATGTATGTGTGATGTGTGCGTGCGTGTGTATGTGATGTGTGTATGTTTGTGATGTGTGTGTGTGGTGTGTGTGTGTGTTACTGTTTATATTTGACATATTTATTGCACTTTGAAGTTGTTGTTTTCAATGAAGTATGTGTTCTTTGTTGTTGTTATAATTATTATTGTTATTGTTGTTATTATTATTGTTGTTATTGTTATTTATACATAATTGGCGTTGGTTGATGTTTTTATTGCTTGTGTGTATGCATGTATGTTTGTTTGTATGTGTGTATGTATGTTTGTAGGTATGTGTGTATGTAGGTTTGTATGTACGTATGTATGTATTTACTGTACGTACATATTTAATGATATTTAAAGCGTATTTTTGTCTCTAGATTGATGATATATAGGTCCAACAGCATTTTATGGTTCATATAAACTTTTTATTATCATCGATATTTTTGTATTGTTATGATTGTTATTAGGTTATTTCTGTTGTCGTTGTTGGTTTTTCTGTTGTAAATGTTGTTGTTATTGTTGTGACGGTATGTTGAAAATAATCATCTTTTTTTCTTCCTTGCAAACGAAATTGCCAGCTTATCCCACTAATACATCATCTTCTCCATCTGCTATGTTTATTATCTCAACTTTGATATATGCACTTGTTCGTTTGTCGAGAGATTTTTTTTTCGTTATCTGCGCGTAGTGTGTTCTTAATTACAGAGCAATGATATACATATACACATCATCCCACCTTATATCCTATCTTCACTTCGTCGTCATATTATCTCTGAACCATCATGTAATAATATTATTTATTATTATTATCTATATTTATCACTCTTTTTCTTCTTCTTTTTCTTCTTCTTCTTCTTATTATTATTTTTATTGTCATTATTTATGTTATTATTATTATTGGGTTTTATTATATAATCATAAATCTCAAATCATTATCATCTATTTTGATGTTTTTTCATGTGTTAGTCATTTATCGTCATCATGTATCATCGTCGTCTCGCTATTATTATCTACCTATCATCAACGTCATCATTATCACTTATGTGTGCGTGCGTGTGTGTTTTTGTGTGTGTATATAGGTATGTATGTGTGTGCATTGTGTGTGCGTGTGCGTGTGCCTGGGTATATTCATATTTACTCATCAACAGAAAGTTATTTTCAAACTTAGTTTTCTACCAGTTTAAAGTTTCATATTGCATGTGTTTGTGCGCGTTTGTGTGTGTGTGTGTGTTTGTATGTGTTTGTATACAGTGTATATGAATGATATGTGCAATGTGCTTGTTTATACATGCGTTGTTAAGTCTTAAATGTTTAGCTTAGAATATAGTTAGGCAGTTTCGTAGTTAGTTAGTTGTGTGCTTAGTTTAATGATTCATAAGCATGTTGTGGGTGTGTGTGTGTGTTTGTTCTTCTCTTGTTTTTGTTTATGTTCACCTGTTCTGTCGTTCTTTTGATAGAAATAGCATAAATTTTAAATGGTTCACATTTCGTTTGTCTTTATTGTTCGTAAAACTAGTTTTCTAAATTTATTTTTATTAGATAAAAAAAAAATAACGCGAACATAAAATTGAGTTAGGTAAGAAAATATGTAAATTTTTATAAAATAAAATATTCATGATTTTTTTTCCTGGAAAACAATTGCCTCATCCCAGAACACTTCGGTTAGAAATATGTTAGGAGGGGGACCTAATAGTATTGGTCTCACTCTCTCTCCTTTCTCTTTCTCTCTCTCTTTCTCTCTCTCTCTCTCTCTCTTTCTCTTAATACGTTCTTTCTACGTAGCATTCGAGCTTGCGATCTATCTCTCCATCTTTCTGTTATTCCCTCGTCTGCCATTCAAGTGTTTGCCTACAGATTTATTCTCACAAAAAACGAACGAGAGAGAAAGAGAGAGAGAAGGAAAGGAAGAGAGAGCGAAAGAGTTACTAGAAGATGAAAGTAAAATGTGGAGTATTGAAGAGAGAAAATCTGGTGATAAAGAGAGAGAGAGAGTGAAAGAGTGAAAGAATGAGTTTACCTTAGATTTTGAAATTTCCATATTCACCTCAATATCCTGCAAGCTACATAAATTAAATTTAACTAGTTCATCCGCACACACGCACGCACACGCATATACACATACACACACATATATTACATACATACACATACATGTATACACACACTTAGCTGGTCGGAAACTGGTTTCCTTTACAACTTTCTAACAAATACATCATACGAATTACAGAATAACATTGTTATGAATGTGTGTTTGCGTTCACGTATCTATGTGTGCGTGTGTCTATGTGTGCCTGTGTCTGTGTGTCTGTCTGTGTGTGTGTTATTTTGCATAATTATTGTTTAATTTTAACTATGTTCATTTTGCTTAATTTAATTGCTCTACTTATTTCAAGCATTTAGATGTTAAAGTTGAATCAAGCACGGGCGACGTTGCATTTCTTTTTTTTTATTTACATTTCTCTTCTGCTTGACTATGATTTTATTTGCCTAAGAGTATTTTTTGCTCTATATAATTGAAAAAAAATTCGTTCGTAGCTATTTATGACGCATGATGATAATATAGTATAGAAGAAAAAATAATGAGATTCATTATGTACATAACCTCATTTGAATAATTTTAAAAAAGTTTTTCATTCAATCTTTTCTCTCTCTCTCTCTCTCTCTCTCTCTCTCTCTCTCTCTGATTTTCCTTCTTGTTTTCTTTATTTCCGTCTGTCCCATCCCATCTCATTCTTTCATTTATCTCTCTTTCTCCTATTCTTTTCTCTCTCTTTTTCTTTTCTGTTCTACCTCTCTTTCTCTCTTACTTGTTCTTTTTCTTCCTCTCTCTTCTTCTTTTTCTCTTTTTTTGTCTTTCTTTTAATTCCATACTTCTCTCTCTCTCTCTTTCTCACTTTCTCTCTCTCTCCATCTATCTCTTATATATCTCACTCTCTCTCACTCTTTGGCTCGCTTACTCATGCTGTAGTTGTCACGTCACATTTTGATTTACATTATAGATGAATTTTTTTTTATTCTGAAAATTCCGAACGATGACTCAGCGAAATTAATTTTAATAACTTATTGAATTCAACGAGCAAACACAAATTTAATTTTTTTTACAAATTTTTTAACAAAATTTCAAATCAATAACATTTTCCACATCATGGTCGGCGTTGGTTGGATGTAATTTAAATTTATATTTATAAAAAAGAAAAATTCAAATAAATTGAAAATTAATTTTATGGAATTTTTTTTTGGGAACTTTAGAATCCGAAGCGTTGCAGTCGAAACCGCTGAACAGCATCTCACAAGTGAAAAGGAAAAAGATGAAGGTCCCATTTCTGCAAGACGGTTTGTTTTCCTCTTCCTGTTATTTCATCTGACCATTTAATTAATTAAATTGTTAATTAATTAAGTAATTAAGTGATTAATTACGTAAATAATCGAGTATTTCATCTAGTTATTTGCTAATTTATTCAATTTTGTAGTTAGTTTAGTAGTTGATTAATATTCACAAACGCTATTATGTTAATTATACAAATATAATTAATAAGTTTATTAACACTTAGTTAATTAATCAATCGATCAATCAGTCAATCAATCAACCAATCAATCACTCAATCAATCAATCAATCAATCAATCAATCAATCAATCAATCAATCAATCAATCAATCAATCAATCAATCAATCAATCAATCAATCAATCAATCAATCAATCACTCCATCAATTAATTAGATTATTATTAAAAACTTGTCTTTGTGCATTGCATCCAGTGTTACTTAATCCCATTTGATTGACAGGCTCGTGCTTCAACCTAGCCTCAAAACTGCCAAAATGCCGCGAATGTAAGGTGAGCCGAAGAAACACCGACCAGATAAATATCTTCTGCAGATTCTACGCCTTCAGAAAGTTTGCATATTTTTATTTTTCCAAATTTTTATGTAGTTTTTTGTTTTTCTTTTAATTCTATCACGAAACTGTAGTAGTGGTTGTTGTACTTGCCATTCATACTTGCAGCTACCTCTAGAGTAGTAGTATCGTCCTTCATGTTAGTATATTAACCTCATTTGAATTAGTCAAAATATTCTACAGTTTCTAACTTTGTTCCTCTCTCTCTCTCTCTCTCTCTCTCTCTCTCTCTCTCTCTCTCTCTCTCTCTCTATCTCTCCCTCACTCTCTCCTGCTCACTCTCTCGCTATCTATTACTCATGTATACAGTGACTTGATAGTTAGTTTATGTTTATAACGTGTCCTTTACTTTACACACTTATTAAACGAACTGGACGAAACGAAATTTGTTAACGAAACGAAATTTGTTATCGAAACGTTCACAGATGGCCTGTTTTAGAATGAATATTTATTTTGTTTCAAAACAATTTTATATTCAGTTTTCAAACGGTAATAAATTCATTATAGATTTATTATAGACGCTTGCTGTACTGTTACCTATTAAGACGTTTATTTAGAGTTATTTCACGGTTTTTTCTTGTGTAAAATTAATGTCTCAGTATCTTTATTAAAGTTATTTATCTTCATTATATCATTTATGCGTCCTATCAAACTGACCTAAGACTAAACTCATTCACTCTCAAGATAATTTTACGACCAGTTTATAGGAGCCTAATTTTTATCTCTAATCTATCTCCCAGCAGCATATAATATAGCACACCCGTCCGTCATTTGATGATTGCCATTGCCATTATAAACTGCTACTAGGTAATGTGCTTCTTCTTACTTAATTCATAACTCAAGTATCTACTGTTATAATAAATAGATAAGTTGTTTATCTCTCTCTCTCTCTTTCTCTCTCTCTCTCTCTCTCTCTCTCTTTTCTCTCTCTCTTTTCTCTCTCTTTCTCTCTCTCTCTCTCTCTCTCTCTCTCTCTATGTGTATGTGTACCAGTGTGTATGTGTGCGCGTAGATTTAGCGGACTTACGTGGGCGTAAGTGTATTTATATAACACTTGAATTTTTCTACTTGTGAGAATTGATATGTTTCTAAGTGTGACGCCTATTCCGTAGTACGCTGGCGCGCGCACACACACACACACAACACACACAGACATAAATACATACATACACACACACAGACACGCGCCCATACTTGTACATACACTTCATTATAATAGTAGTGTGTTGAGGTTTTAATTCTCTCTCTCTCTCAAAGAAGAATTTTTTTAATTTCTGCATAAACATCCAAAAAAATTAATTATCGACACTATGGAGTGTTCATGCTTACGTACGTGTTGGTAAACTATGTTTTACAATATTTCTTTGTTGTTCTTTTTATTCTTGTCATGTTTTCTTCATTTTCATCATCTTCTTCTTCTCCATCTTTTTTTCATCATCTTTTTCCTCATCATATCATCTTCTTCTTCATCATCATCTTCTTCATCTTTTTCATCATCATCTTCTTCACCTTTTGATCATCATTCATAACCCATTCATCTTTCACTTTCTCACGTTCAAAACTATGCTCTTTCACTGATGAATAGATAACTTTTTATGGTACTAAAAAGAAATTTATGACCTCCATTATTTATTAAAATTGCTTTCTGAAAAAAAAAGAAAAAATTCTATTCGGCAAGTTTGGTTTTTAAAAAAAATTGTTAAGTCTTCACTTTAATCCTTTTATAAAAAAAAATGTGATGATGTCTGGTGTTGATGTCTACGTGTGTGTGCAGTTCTGATGCGTTCATGCCGAGAAACTATTTTATATTTAGATACCAAAAAACTCAATTGTTTCCCCGTTTTCAACGTTATTTTTATAACGCCGAGTGAAGATATACTGCCAGAATGCTATCATCATCTCTTATTTACATGAAGAAGAAAAAAAACTAACATACAAATCGTAAAAGTATTTTATTGTGGTGATAAAAAAAATGTTGAAGGTTTTATTACAACTCACATTTAAACATCTTTCCGACAGATCAGCATGCATTAGCGAAAACACTTCATCTTAAAAATTGTTTACTGGCTTAGGAATTTTAGCAGCACATAAAAATAATAATAATAAAAATAAACAGAGAAAAATGTTATCTGAGACAATGAAGTATTCTTAACATATTCGTCTTCCTTAATTTACTGTACTTGAGAAAGAGTTTTTTGTTCGTTTTTTTTGGAGGTATCTTCTTTCATACTCCATTAACTTACTGAAACTTGTTTACTACATACCTTTTTTTCTGCTATGGCTTTAAAATGGCATAAATCAGGCTAGAAAAAAAATTTATTTTTTCAAAATATTCCATTCCCCGTTCATTCATCGAGTTTTTGTTCTCTTCTACTTTTCAAACTTTTTTATGAAACATTCGTTTTTTGTTTTACTTTTTGTTTATAATGGAAAAAAATGTTGACATGAAAAATAGATGCTGGTTTGGCGTGATTCGGTTGGACTATTTTTTGGGATAGAAAAAAAAACTTTTTCTTTTAATTTTTGAATTTAAAAAATAAAAATATAATTAATCTCGACTTTGAATGAATAATCTCCGCTTCCAATTATTTCCCTCTCCTAATTAATTTTCTTTGCACGCTCAACGTTCATATTTGATTTAATTTATTTCATATTTTCCTGTAACATTTATTTTCTTTTTATATTATTATCTTAATATTATAATTATTTTATTATTATTATTATATTATTAATATTATTATTTCTAGAAATTCACTAATTAAGTCCTAATGCTTTATAGTCAGGGAAACCTCGCTCTAATAAAAAAAAGAAAACATCCTCAAGCTCTTAACATCTTGAGAAACATTTATTATTAACTTTCATTATAGTGGCTAATTTACGAAATAAATTGTTCTTTCATCAGAATTATTTCTTGAAAATGAAATAACTATTTTTTTCATCGTACATTTATATTTATCATTCCTTTGAATAATTGCGACAATTAATTCTAAAGAATGGGTAATTACTAAAAATGGTAAGTACAGTGCGGGTTTTTTTAGTTTCATGTATTTATATAATGCCACCCACTTTCTTCAAATATGTTATTTTTAATGGCATCTTGTTTTTCGTTACTCTCACTCACTTATTCATCTTTTTTTTCTACTTTCACTTTCACATTCTTTTCTCCTACCTCCGATAACCTTAAATTATTTTAAAAATTTAATTGAGAATAATATTTCGTCGTCTTTTTATCCTTCATCCATCGGTTTATGACGTACTATTCGTTCTCGTGTTTATCTCAATTTGTTGAGTGTACGATTTCATTGGGTTTATTTTTTGAGTTAAATATTGTCAGATGGTGCAAAAATGATTATGATTTTATGAGCTTGCATTTTAGTTTCGATTCACGTTGAAACTTGTCCAGAACAATAGTTTGTATCATTTTTACGAACCAAATATGAGCGGCTGATTAATTGATAAATCGATCGATTGTGGCCTGCTTAATTTCTTCATAACAGAATCACTTGATTCGTTAGCATTAATTAATTTGTTGATAACTGAAAACAGACTGCAGTACTCAGCGAAGGGTCTGCTTGCGGTTAGCGGCTTCTCGAAGCCAGTGGACGCAGAGGCAGACGACATCGAACTGTGGATGCCGATCTCGGTGGCTTGCACGGCAGACGATAAGGAGCAAGCGAGATACGTGGTGTCGTGCATTGGAGACTGCTTCAACGAACTTATCAATAGGGAGAACACGGCTGTACCAGCTGTTCTCAACTCGGGTGAGTGAGTTTTTATCGCGTTTCAACTTTTTAATTTCATCTTAATTTATTCGCATTTTAGCATTATTGCAAATTTCAAGTGCACCGTTAACTAAATGTACAAATTACATTTGACTTTATCTCTAGTGGAGAATCCTTCATGGAAGCGACCGATCCAGGGCGTTCGCGAGATGTGTGACGTGTGTGAAGCCGTCCTCTTCGACATGCACTGGGTTTGCAACAAATGTGGATTTGCGGTGTGCACCGGTTGTTTCAGCAACAGGACCTCCCATCCAGAAATGGACACGTCCGATTGGTTGACTTGCAGCATCAACAAACAACCGCACGAACTCGACTCCCTCATGTTAACTCAAATCATTCCAAGCGACGGTTCGTTGACATTATGATTTTTTTTAAAGAAATTTTCATATTACAACTCCATTTGCAATATTATATGGGGGTTTATTTTTTATTTCTTTCAGTTCGTAAAGTCATCTACAGAATTTTCAAGGAAACCTGTTCAAAGAACAAAATAAACTTATCCGATTATCACAATAGTTTAAAAAGTCAATCCGAGTCTGAAAGCTTGAGCAGTGGCGATGCATCAGACAACTGCAGCGATCATACTTCGTCTTTTGAGTTGAAAACTGAAAAAAATGTCTGCAAGGAAGATTACGAAGAAGAGAGCGAAGCGCCGAAACAGGATGCACCCTTGAGGCACCTTCCCGTCTCATTCGAGTACGCGAGGGGCGGCCACCTCTCCCCCGACGAAATGGACAGATTCAAATGCAGATGGAGGCAATCAGAACCTGTCGTATTCACCAACTGCTACATCGACTCCGACCTCTGGAATCCTGACAACTTGTCTCTTGAGTTCGGTCATTTGAAGATGGACATCATCGAGTCGCCATCAGGGCAAATCTTGAACAACCAATCCATGGAAAAGTATTGGAATGCCTTCGCCGTGCCAATTCAGTCGTCGTCGTCGTCGTCGTTATCTTCATCCTCCTCAGGTAATGCATCCCGCGGACGCAATTCAAATCACCTCGCCGTCTCACACAGATTGAAGGAGTGGATTTTTTCGGATGTCAATGACAGGTGATGTACTCTTCCATCTAAACCATCCAACATTTGCCAACTTCATACTCTAATTCAATTTTGATGATTGGCGCTAATTTTTTTTATATATTGATTTAATCCTGCAGGGCCCGCAGTTTCATAAAACATATTCCCCTACCGACCTACATCCCTCCGAACGCCCCCTACAACACGGCCTCTAGAGTTCCAGACTTTTTTGTCAAACCAGAACTTGTGACGTCCGTTCAGGCTGTCTGCTTTGTGAATCAACACAACAGCTACAGCAGCCACAGTAGCCAGAGCAGCGGTAGTGCCAAACGATCGTCAGTGGTCGGTCTGCAAGTCAAATGTTTTGACTTTGTCAATCTTTCAGTCTATTGTGGCCATTTCAACTTGAACGAAACTAAACTGCTGGGTTGGTTTGTTCAACTTTTTTTGATAATTATTTTTATGTTTCGAAATTTTTGAAATCTAATTTTCGAATACTTCCAATCCGACGCCAGGTTCTCCGGGAAAAGGAATGAAGAAAGAAAATGTCGGCAAGCCAGGCCCCTTACTCTGGCACATATTCAACCCGAGTGACTTCAACACGATCAAATCTTTTCTTGATCAGGTAACTCGTGTGTAACGTACTACTTACATTTAGCGGGCATGTCTGGAAAAATTATTTGATGAAGATGTATAGAAAAGTATTTATATTCTCAGTGTGAATCTAATCAGTCGAGTTCGCGAGTGCCGGGGACGAACAGCAGCCAATCGAACGGCGCGCCAGCTGACTCCTCACTCTTATTGGATGGCTCCTATTATCTCGACGATTCAAAACTCTTGCAGTTGAAGCAGAAATTTAAAGTTGAACCCGTGACCATCGTTCAAAAATTGGGAGATGCTATATGTGTCCCTGCCATGTCTGTTTTTCAGGTTAGGAAAATGGAAATAAAATTTTTTTGCTATATTGTTCTGGCTCTACAAAAAATATTTATAGTTATATAATATAATGCTATATAATATAATAGTGATAATTATAATTAAATATTTTGTAATATTTATAATTAAAAATATTAAATTTCGATCGTAGGTGAAGACAGCGTGCAACTATGTATCAGTGAGCAGAGATTTCTTGAGTCCAGAGAGTGCTCGAGTCGTCTTCAAGTGGATGAATGAGCACAAGAAATTAGTTTCTTCTCTGGGTTTTGAAGACCACATACAAGTATGTTGTACATGCATTCAACGTAGTTTTTTTATGTCTTCATTCATTTTTAATAATTTTCCAAGTTAGTATGAATCATTGTGTATGTCAAAGACGTGAATGCTGTATTAATTTATTGTTAACCTACCATACGATACAGAACATCATCTACCATTCCACAAAGGAGTGCTTGACAGTACTGCGTCAGTGAACCAACCAACCAGCCAGCCAGCCAGCCAACTATCCTTTCATCTCTCCATCTCTCAACCTCATTCATTCATTTGTTCGTTCGTTCATTCATTCATTCATTCATTCGTTCGTTCGTTCGTTTATCCATTCATTCATATTCGTCAATTGGTCGTTTGCTATTTGTGGCTTTTTGTTATATTACAGTCGGCATTACTTGTTTTAAAATGTTAGCATGAATAAATAAACATACGGCTTGTAAATTGTTAAACTGTAGCATTACTTCCTCATCTTCTCCTTCTTCTTCCTCTTTCCACTATTGTCACACATAGTTCAACTTGTTTTATTATGTGCTCTTGAATGTATATAGAAAGAAGATGATGTGGTTGATGATTATTTTTCATTCTAAACAAAAATTAACATCTATTAATTCAGAAGAATTGTTAGAGAACACACACACGCACACACACACACATTATATATATATATATATATATATATATATAAAGTCATTTTTGTTTGTTTTTGTGATTTTTTCTTCTTGTTTACTTCAGTTTAGAAACCGGGCAGTTATTTTTTTAAATCTATTTGTTTAGATGACTTCTGTATTATTGCACGCACGCACACAAACAAACACAGGTTTAAAGTGATGTCTATATTATTATTATTATTATTATTTTATTATTACTATTCAAGAATTGTTAATTATTATTAGTTTTGGGTCGTTAAAAATTAATTTGTCGATATAATATTGTGAATATTTTGTTCATAATTTTGAATATTTTATCATCATTCTCTTTGTTCTAGTTATAATATAAAATCGCTCTTGTTACACACACGCGCGCGCACACACACACACACACCAACACACACACACACACGGATGTGTACATCCAAATAATATAATAACGTGAGACAGTTGATTCAATAAAAGTGATATTTATGTGCAGTTCAAATATTCAGATCTGTAATATGTATATGAATTAAAATTTATTCTTTAGTTGACATTTGTTTTAATTATGTTAATTTGTAGTTAATATCTTATGTTAATTATGGCTAATATTATAATTAACGTGTTAACTATTGCTAATACTATAATTATTAATTGATGTATTATTATCTTTGTTCGCACATTCTTAGAATTAAATATTTTTATTAATTTTTTGTTATAATGTGAATATTTATTCAATATATATATATATCTATCTATATTTATGTTGAATGTATGTATGTACGTTTTATATATATGCTCGAGATATTTTTAATTCGCTTATTGTAAATAAATATATCTCATTTAAAAATTGTAAAAAAAGACATAAGTAAGAGCCATCTTTAATTATAATGAAATAATATATATATATATATATATATATATATATATATATAATGAATGGTAAATAATATAATGAAATAATATATATATATATATATATATATATATATATATATATATATATATATATAAAGGAATAAACATATAAATTTCCTTATATATATATATATATATACCTTTGTTGGTGTTGTAAGTTAAGTCTGGTTTTGCTGTGTATTTATTAATTTATTTATTATAGGCTTCAAATACATTGAGACAAGATTGTAAACGTTTAATTTTGATTAGTATTAGTTTTGTTTGTAATAAAAATTAAAGTTTAGTTAATTTTTTTGTATATATATATATATATATATATATATATATATATATATATATTATATATATATATATATATATATTATATATATATATATATGTATATAAACTGAATAATACATATATATATTTGCTAATTGTAATTTTAGTGACAAGAACTTGTGTTTCGCACTTTTGAGTTTTGTATTTATTACAATTATCTAATAAAATTCTCATCCACGAGTTTGTGTCATTCGATTTTATGCAACCTAACTGAGAAAATCAAGCATAACCTAAATGCGAGTATTGACAAAAAATTGTTGGCTTTATTTTTAAAAAGATTTCGAGGCTCATCAGTGAAATACAGGTTTGGTAATGTGATAAATTCAAAAGAAGCTGAAAATCCGGTGGAAAAATTTAGAGTTTAAATTGTTATAGATGCAATTTTCATTTGCCGACTAATCCAAATCCTTGCCAAACTTTTTCACGAAAACATTGTCATTATTTTTTATCGAAGAATTTTCATGTAGGTAAATTGATAATTGAATGTGGTTCAATTAGATCCACAGTTAGTGATTTGTAACGTTAGTTTAATTGTCTCTAATATAAACCATTGTGAGCCTGAAAACTTGAATAAATTTTATTTTTTAAAAATTCATTAGTAATTCAAGTTTATAAAACTTAATTTAATTAACTAAAAATAACGCAAACGTGTAGTTGTAAATAAAGTTTATTGAAATATAATATCATGGCTACCTAGAGCTCTCAGGTTTATAAGTTTGTTGTCCAATGTTACGAATTAAAAGTAGTACAACCATTATGAAATACAACCAAGTGGAATGCATAAGTTTTACTTATAAGATTATATCAAATAATTCTAACATGCCAACCTCAATTTGTAACAATTTTTTCAAAATAAACGCGGACTCTTAAATTTGAAGCAGCAAGGCGACACCACCCAGGATCCATTTTGAATGCTTGTCTTTCGTTTTCAAGATTGAACTTCCACACGAACGTCTGGCCGCGTTGTTTCGTCTTGTAGACTGGACATTCGTAAATATTTTTCGTCTCCTGTCTGTCCACTGGGATTGCTTTAATGTAAATCACCGGCATTGCAGGGGCCAGTTCCTTCAATTTAGCTTCAGCAATCATCCCAGACTGGACATCCCATCGTGCCCCCTCCATGAACAACCCACACACATAGGCCCCCTCTCTCGGAGCGCCACCGATCTCCTCACGAGATTTCTTCAGAACGTCACATTGTAAGCACATCTTATCCAGGGGCCACTCGTTCTTGCGAGCCATCTGCTGCATGATGGCAGTCAAAAAGGATTGAGGATTGAAAAATCCCGCCAGCCAAACTGCCCCGGCAATAGCAAATGTGGATGTCCACATCTCCAACTCACGAATTCTCAGCAGCAGATCGGCGTACCAAGGTGTGAGGCTGTATAAAGATGGATACGCCCTCAAGGCCCATGTTTCGGGTACGATATCCATGTACAAAGAGTTGCTCAGGTTCTCCATGTCCGCTGTTATCGTCAGTTCACCCTGGTAAATTTAAAAGCGTATGTTATGAAATTTTACTTGTAGATGCAATTACACTATGATCTTTTACTTTTAAATTTAATCTAATCTTTAATAACTGCAAATAAATCAAGAAGTTGTTGAGAATGTATAACGTACCTTGAGGCCGAGATTCAATTCTATCAAGGACCTCTTGATCTCAGTAGTTAAAATGTTCATGCGTTCACATTCCTGGAAGGCCACCACGACGTAGGGTGTCCTCTCCTCCGGTGGCACCTTCGACATGATCTCTTGCATGAGGAACTGCTCTGGTAGTTTGTCTTTTATGTCGTCCAGAATACCTTTGATCTCGATAAACAAAACAGCAATAGTGAAGCAGCAACTTCATCGTTCACAAATTTTTTAATAATAATCCTCGTAAAAATTTCTTTCATCATTAAAATATGCACCGTAATTCAATAAGCAAATTACAAACTTTTTCCTCCCTGCTGACTCCACCCGTCGCACCGAAGCCAGCATCTCTGGGCTGAAGTTCAAAGACACTTCTGAAGAGTGCTTCAGAAGTTTGTGAGAGTATGTCAATTTCAGCATTAGAATGCAGACCGTATAAGATTGGATTTTCGTTGGGCAGCATCTCATCTATGTAGTTGTGATAACCTCTGTAGTCCAAGTTAGGAGGGTTTGGAAAACCTGGCGCCAAGTATAATTCTCCATCCAACTGTTGAGTAAGGTAATTATTTTTATTATTGTGGCACAGTGAAAATGTGATAGAAGTCGTACCATGAAGGGGTTCATATATTCTTCGAGGTACGTCTTACAAAGCCGTCTGTCCCAATCGTCAGTTATGTGTCCGCCGTACATGATCTCCCCAAATAAGTACCTCAAATCTTCCCAAGGCACTTTAGAATTAGCCTCCAAATAATTGTACAGAACACTGACACTAATGTTGAGGTCTCCAAAATTGAAAGGGTACATGCGGTTCCATCCTTGCGGTCCAAACTTCCTCCTTTCACTGACGACGGCGTGGAAGTAGCAGAGAGCAAACAGAATACTCTTGAACTCCATTTCTTTGGCACACATGTCCAATGTATCCTGAAAAAAATTTAAAACCCTACCTAATTTTTAACAATCAAAATGATTGAAAAATTCAAAAATGTTAATGTTAAAAGTACAAATTTTTACAGATTTGTCGCGTAACCCTACAAAATTAAAATGAACACCGCCAAATTTGTTTCATTTCGTTTTAATTCTAAAAAAAAAACAATGAAAAAACGTCAAAAATTTGACAGAAAATACAAAAAGACCAACTTGACTGAAGATATCAAGAGCTTTGTGGAGGTTGGCAAACATTCCTGTAGGCGGTTCGTTGGTTATCTTGATGGCAGACTCGAGGATGCCCTGCGGCATGATGTGGCTTTCCCTACTCGAAGCTGCTTCTGCGCTTATGAACACCCTGTAGGCCGGGTGGCTTTCATTACTGTACTGCTCCAACTTCTTTTCCAGACTTGGTAACCACCGCGCCACCAGATGGACATTCTAAAATGTAATACAACAAGAAAACAACATCTCAATTACAAATTAATGTTCAATTTCAGAACTTGACCGGCAAAAAATATAACCTGCAAAATGACCCAATGTCCTTCAGCTGCAGCAGTGTCCATGGCATTCTCGGCCACAATTTCCTGACCTTGACCCAAAGAAATGTTGTGGAAGTTTTTGTTGTCGAACGTGAAGCCGAGCACCTGAAAAAAAATTTATCAAAACAATTAATCAGAAAACGAACGTAAAACTTGATTTATTTTAAGCATCTTCTTAATAAAATTAACGTCGTCAAATAAATAAAAATAAATAGATAACTCGGAAGTCACCTTTCCAAGCTTTTCGACATCTTTGAGAGGATCAACACCAGGTGAGAGAATGAAAAAGATAGGTGTCGATGGTGTGGATTCCTCGTAAGACTTGGAAAACTCAGTAGCACGTATGTCAACAAATTTTTTGCCCAACTTTTCCTCCACGTACATTCTACAAGCCAGCAAAATTGTATTTTTGCGCTTATAACATTAATATGATTGATACAATCTCACTTTACATGAATTTTTTTATAATAAATTAAAACAAGTCCGTAGTAACATCGTTTTGGATGTAGATCGAAATTGACTGACTTGATAGTGTATGTCATCCTGTCTGGTCTGAGAGTCCGCATCATGCAAAGTTTCTGCAGAGACGTTTTGTTCTTCCATTCCTGCGGGAATTTCTCTTGTTCCGGAGTTTCACTCTCTACAAATTTTTTCCATCTTTTCGATGATCCTTCTATATCACGATCCAGATTTTTAAACTCCTCCATTGCTGACAGAGTCTAACAAAGAATAAAAAAATTATTTTAGCCACAAAATAATGTAAATTTGTTCCCACGATGAAATCCGAAGCTTTCAAAACAATATAGCATCCTACATTCAAACGCAGCCAACCTTGACACCGCCCCAAGAAATACTCGAAAGAAAATCAACAGGACTTGAGACCGGTAACACAGGGAACCTCAACAAAAAGTCCAACTCATTCAGCGCCATGTCATTAGACGCCAACAGGATCTGTTCAGTTAAAATCAAAATTAACTCAGAAATTATTTTTCCACTTTAGAAAGCGATACATGGCGCGCAAGCTTACTTGAAACGTCATCTGGGTCATGAAAATGATCTTGTCCGATTCAAACAAACCGCGACTTGTGTATTGAAAAACTGAAAAAGTGATGCAATCAATGAGGTTCATCAATCGCTGCTTCAGCGTGTCAGCTGGATCTGCTTTCTGTAGAGCCAGTTCGAACACTGTGCCAAATGCCTGGAAAATAATTGGAGGAGTTGACGGTTCGAAATGAAGTTTATTCAAATTTTTAATCCTTACAACATACGATCAAAACCATCGAAATAAAAAAATTCTAGAAAATCATAGAAATAAAAATCCGCTGTACCTTCAGTGAGAACTGGTACATGGGATGAATCTTGTTGAGGTCGTTCAGTATGAAGTAGAGAAGTGAGCCACGAGACCCGGCAACTCTGTACGCTTCTCTGAACTCATTTATCTTCGCCTCCGTTACTTTAGCTTCTTTAACCTTCAATTTTGTAATTTTAAAACGCCTATTAATTTACAATAATTGTGTGAATTGTAATGATTACAAAAATATAAATGTTTCACTGCATCTAAAAACATTAGAGAAGCGATGCAACCAGCACAGCCAGCCAGCGCACCTTCTCTTCAACGTCAGCGGATGTTCTCTTGGTGGTCTCCAGATTCTCAACCAGTTCATAATCACCGAGAAAGTTTCCAGAAGCTTCAGATAATCTTGCCAGGAGAGAATCCTCCAAGTGTTTCAACGTGATTTTGTATTCATTCTGCTGTCTGGTAAGGTCGGCTTTTAAGACCTCTAACTCCGGCTGTTCCTTGGCGACGACCATGGCTAACAGCTGGTCCTCTAAACTGTCCTTTGTCACCGTGAAGTTGATCAGGGTCGTCTGCGCCTGTGCATTTTTTCATTGCACAACATTCATTATATGAAATATGGAGCACGTATGAAAAATTGTTCACAAAATTTATAACAATTTAAATAAATTTTGATAAGGTAAGAATGAAAAACAAAAATTCAAGATTGATTCTCTACTTGTAACTCTGGTTTGTAGTGTGGGTTTGCGAGTTTGGTGTGCAATATCAGCCTGAAGTTCTTGTTAAAGTTGATTTCCTTGTCTCCAACTTTAATTACTTTACCCTGCGTCAGTGAAGGAAAAAAGTTAACAAGTGTTTCTGTTTGCAGAAGATATACATATAAGCGAGTAGATTTGCTAGAAGATGCACGCCCGACCTTTTTAATGGTGTTCCTGCCAATGATGGGATCGAGTATGGGATCGATGGATTCGTCGATGTTTTCAATCAGGACGACCTCTCCGTCTGAAATGGCCTTCTCTATCTTGTCGATGTAATTTTTTTGATTCAGACGCACCACAACTAGCTTGTCACCGTACCTGAGGGTGAAAAAATATCTGCCTGTGACGGCTTAGCACCACATTTTTTCTACTTTTTTAAACATGTTTCAGTTTCCTCCCAGCCAATAAAAACGCGAATTAATCAACTTAACGCTTGCCAACATTACTACATTAGCAATAAATTTGACAACATGAAACATCAAGAAAAACAAACAAGCAGCTGAAATGTTAATTAGCACATGAATAAGGAACCCTAACCCTAACCCCATTCCATCACTAACTTCCTTTTGATCCATTTAATGCCCTGAAGTTGAGGGTCAATCATTAGCGGCCATCGTTCAGCGTTGGTCAGTATAGTGGCGTTCTCAGACGACATGCGGTCATTAGGCAGACCTTCGTTTTGCCATTTGGCCAGTTTGGCATCATCAGATAGTAGACCCATGATGTCAAGGTTTTCTGAGGTTGGGATGGGATTAGGAAGGGCCTGTGGTAGAGTTCAAATTGACAGTGCCACGTTAATTACTTTTCACTGCTCGATGATTTTTAAAAATATACGACAAAAATAAATAATTTAAAAACTTGCGGCATATAAACTGAAAAGTTAAAGTAAAACTTACTCTGAAGTAAGGTAGCCAATGATTTTCCATGAGGTCAATTCTGTAGGGCTTAGTGAAGCAACCGACGTAAGATATGAAGGCAGTGACCAGCAGAATATCTCCCGGAACGGTACCTGCCTGGATGTTGAACGTCTCAACCGCCTGGTGCCAGCGAACATTTTCAGACGCAAGACCCAACACCAGTCGATTCGATAGGTCGATAGTCTTTGCTGTTTGATCTGCTTCCTAAAAATTCTCATCCAATTAATTGCTATCACAATTTTTATAATTTATTATTTTAATTTAATTAACTAACTAACGTAGAGTGAATGAAATTATAAAAATAAACATACTGCTTGACATTTTGCTTTGGCTTTCGTCGCCTTCTCGTATTCCTTCGTTAGTTTTCCTAGAGCATCCTGGAGGACAGCCAACTTCTGACGTAGCAGGTTCAGTTTCTGCTCGGCATCGTTCAGTTGGCGGGTGGCATCTTCAAGGGCCAATCTCTTTGGCTCCACTTCGCAGAAGACCTTCGAAAAGTTAATTGTCATTTTCAAACAAGCTATCAAGCTAGCCTTAACATTTTTGATAAAATGTTTGCGATTAATAAAAAAGTTTCTAAATACAAAACTTATTTTTTCATTATAAATAATAATTTTTAACATTTCTGTTTAAATTTCATTCATGACAAAATTACCTCGTAGAATTTCATGATATTTATAACCCAGGCACAAAGACCGGCTGCTGCAAAAGACTTGGTTTTAATATATTCAGGTTCAAACTCAGGGTCATCGAGGTAGGGTTGAACGGCTTTCTGCACCATGGGTGGAATGCTTTCCTTTTTGTAGTTGATCAGTGACAGGAGGAAATCGTCAACCTGGTAAGTTGATTGAGTGAAAATATTAAATATAAATATATATAATAAAAAATATTTTCAGTTTGTTTTGCAGAAATAAAAATTTGATCCTTTCTAGCCAACCTTGTTCATGATTCCCTTCGCAATCCTCCAGCCCCTGTCCTTGGGTACCTTTCCACTTGGAGCTGACATGAGGACTATGACGGCAGCTGCTACTTTCACGACTGCACTTGGAGGAGATGTGAAACCTTTCAACTCCGTCAAATTGTTCTAAAAAAAATTTTGTAAAATCTTAAAAATAAATCAAAATTAAGTTACGCAAAGAAGATAAAAATGGAAAATTTAGAGAAGGAACCCTGTTTAAAGTATCAAGAGCCGCTTTGGCCGCGTCAAGAGCAGGTTGAGCCTTCCTGAGGTCAGCCTCGCATTCAATAAACTTCACTGATACTTCGTCGTTTATGATTTTTACTTTTTTTTCTTCATCATTCGTTATAGCTCTTTCAGCAGAGACCTTTGTTTTAAAAATTTGTTATTGCGTCATTAATTAACCAGTTATATTTTGACACACGCAGTTAATAAATGTAAAAATTATTTACTTTAAGATAGGAACTTACATGAAATTTGCAACCAACCTTATCGGTTTCTCCCTTGACGACAGCTATCAACTTGTTGGCCTCCTCGTTTTTGATGGCCAACTCCTTCTCTTGCACCACCAGCGTCTTTTTCAATTCATCAACCTATATTTAAAAAATATATTTAGATGTTTAATATTTAATTTTAATATTAATATTTAAAAAACTTAAATTATTTGAATGTATTTATTCAAACATCAAACACCTCTAAAAATGATAAATTTTATGAGAACGATTGAAACAACCGACCTGTCCAGAGGCACTCTCCAATTTCTCCAGGCCGTTAACAAGCCTCACAGTATTCTGATGAATCTCGTTAAACTTGCTACTCACGAGATTCCGATAGAGGGATATCTGCTCTAGAAAGCTTTTTGGCGTCGTGTAATTGTACCTGCGCTCGTTCATTAGGTACGACACGCTCACCTCGTTGACTGACTGATGAACGTGCGACATGAAGTCTGATATTGAGTCGCACATATCCGGCTGTCGGTGAGAATTTTATCTTATTATATTTCTACAAATAAAAAGCAACATTTTGTTGTTAGGGACTCATTGTTACACGCAGGCATCGATGAAGTGTACTTAGCAGTCACCCTACCGACTCACAGTCAGTCCTTCAATTTCTCCAAGAAATCTCCGACTGACGGAAACGAGAGCTTCTATGGGCCACTCATGAAACCAGTCGATACAGGTCGTGTTGATGATGGCGGGAAACTTTCGACTTCTGTTACGTAAAGAACTTCCTTGCGGTGAAAAGCACAAAACCACCTGCATGTAAGTCGATCAGCCTTTATGAGCTTTCATAATTTTGCACCGTTTCAGTTTTAGTGTAAGTATAATTCTGCATAATTTTCTACGCGTTAATGTAACAGTTTTAATTAATCACAATGTACAATTTTAAAAAATTATTTTGAAATAATTTTTTAACCTTCAAAAACTGTCTGATTCTTTCAATAAAAAACTTCCAACAGTTTTCCCTCGAATCAAACAAGCCATTAGCCTTAACCTCGGGCCTCATCGCATTGACGATGTTATCTATCTCATCGTCCGGAAACAATTCAGGAATTTCTCCGGTAGCCAAGAGATCGTTGATGAGAACAAGAAACTTTTCATCAGGAACCTGCCCTTCAGTCATCAGAAACATTACCCCCAAGTTCTTCAAACCAGCCTTCAAGTAGAGCACAGCTAGGTCAGCCTTCAAATCATTCAGACCGTAACCTTTCTTCAATGAAACCTGTTAATGAAGAAATAACTTTAACGCCGCATGTTACATCCATTTTAAAAATTAACCGTCAACAGTAACGTAATATAATAAAATTGAACGACGCGAATTTCAATTTAAAATTAAAAAAATTAGAAATAACCAACCTGAAAAACATCCAAATTACTGATGTATGCAGCCAACCTGGAGAGGCTCTGCTTGCCACTGCCACCAACGCCGATGAGCAGAGCATTGCCGCGTGGTGACTCGAGAATTCTGTTGATGCGCATGATGTGGTAGATGGCGTCCTCAAACAGAACCAAGCTCATCATCGTGTTCACCTCGTTGTAGCCGTCCAGGGCATCGGCTATCATCTTGTTCATCTCACTCAACTTCAAAACAGGCATGTATCTACGAATGTTTTGTTAGTTTTTTTTATAAAAAAGCACAAATTCAAAAACTGAGAAAAACTTAAAATTTATTCGGTGAATAAATATAAAAATTAGTGTTTTTTATTATTAGCCACGATTATCGATTGTAGAATTAATGAATGTGACTTGGGATCGCCGAAGGAAGTGGCAAAATGGCAGTACAGGAGAGGTTTTTCAAATATCTGCTCGCTTGGAAGTTCTTCAAAATGTTTCTTTATCGTTTCTTTGACGAGTTTGTCAAATTGTTGCATGTCGGCTTCATCGACCAACTTGTCTCTGTAAACTCTGTGAGTCTCATGCACCCACAACCGCACCAGCTCGTACGGCTGAGTTATTGTCTCCAACGTTGAAAATAACAAACCCTTAAAATTGTTTTGAAAACAAAATTCAAAACTCAATTGTTTCGGAGAAAAATAAATATATCAACAAAAAATATTTTAAAGAACGAGCGGCCAAACTAAAATCACACACCTGAAATATGTTTGAGATATCCCTTAGGTTATAGATGTAATGAAATTTGACGGCTGTAGGCAGGAATATTGAAGCAATCTTCGAATGGAGAAACAAGGAGGATGTCACAAGATTAGGAACAAGACGCTGGATGCCAAGACTGAAATTCGTCTGTGAGGCATGTTGAGACAGGATGCTGTTGTAGATGGTGTTCAGGGCCTCTCCGCCGGGAAAACTTAGAGCGAATATTGCAAAATGTCTCAGTAGTCTAGAGTCGATGGTGAAACTGCCTGCAGTCGGGTTCATGCACGAGACATACTGAGTGCCATGTATCTCCTTCAGACTCAACTTGATTCGGTCGTACCAGTGTCCGTAGTTGAGGTGTTGCCTGATGATTGTGTGCGGCTGCACTGTGAAGTACTTGTCAACCTGAGTGCATATGCATAGGTCGCAGTCTTATAATATCAGTCCTACGTGATACGCACATAGAAGTATTCTTAAATCTTCTCTTGAATATTTTGTCTTAATTTTACAAAGTAATTTGAGTTAATTTGATTTCAGTAAAAAATTTTAGTTATTTTGTTATTTGAATTAAAAATGTTAAATTCTGCAGCTGACACCGCAGAGCAAATAAACGGACCTCTGGCATGTTCATGTCGTCGATGAAGTAAATGAGCTTCTTCCCACCACGTGGACCATAATTTTTTCCAGCTTTCTTCTCCAGGGGTTTTTCGAGAACTTTTTGAAGAATTTCAGAGGAGGTGTAAAAATTGAAGGGTACGTTGGCCACCATGTAATCCTCCCCAAGGTCGTTCAACTTACTGTTCATGAGGACTGACTTGCCGGTGCCCGCGTTACCAACCAGCATGACTGGCCGCTTCATCTTGATAAGTAGGTCCAGGAAGAAACCGATGCGAGTTGTCTCGTTCGTGTCCACCATCACCGACTGGTGGGTAGGTAGGTATGTCGGTAGGTAGGCAGGTAGGTAGGTAGGTAAGTAGCATTTCAATTGCATTCATCAAAATATTTTACATTTGAAAAAAAAGAAACATTAAAAACGGGCAACATTTCAGAATGTGTGAAAAGTGTATGAAGGAACCTTGAGTGAGACGTTGGGCTCCAGGTAAAATTTTGCAGTCTTCTTCGACCAGGGTTCAAATTTTTTAGTCTCCGAATCGATATAATAATCAAATATGGTTCCTGTGCTGGGGAACTTTATAACTTTAAATTCGCCGACCCACCATTTCGAAAATTCCACTCTATGATCCACGAGCTGCAACGAACAAACAACATCATAAGTTACATTTATAACAACACTAAAAATGAAGCAATCCAGACAACATTTTTGAAATAATACCTGTTGAAATAACATCTGTCAAAAAAAAACAGAACGAAATTAGATGAGCCAGCGAAGTGAACCTGATCCTGAAAGAGGCAGCCGCCGAAAGACCAAATGAGACAGAAGACAAAATAAATCTCGTACCATTCTTTCGGGCAGTCGGGCGGAACGTTGTCAGGGGTCAACATGCACTCGAGAAGGTTGAGAAGCATTTGGAGGTGGCAGATGTCAACGATCGGTGTTATTTTCTTGAATTTCGACTTCATCGTATCGAGTAGGACGGGGATGTACTTATCGAAGAGAATCAACAGATTAACTCTCTCCGTCTGATTCTCCCGTCTGTCAACCCAACTTGATACGTACCTGTTCACGCAACGAAGATGAATAAAAATCATGTCTGTCTTTGTCTTTATTGCATGCAAACAAATAAAACTTCAATGTTTTTTAAGCATCAAGACTACTAAACTTTTAAAAAATCAACAGAAAATTATGAAAAAAAAAAACTGACGGATTCCATCCAAGATCTTGCGGGTTAATGTAGAGGATGCCTGCCCTGGACACAGTGGCCGGTGTGGCTGTCTTCAAGTGGCTGATCTCAAACAGGAGGCGCATGGACGGCGTTAGTGGGATTCGCTCGTTGCTTGCCAGCGTCAAAATCTTCACGAATACAAATTGTATAAATGTTGCTAAGAACATTGCTATCACGATCTCAATATCTCAAACACGGTTTGTTAGTTCAACTTTTTATTTTTAATAAATACCTAAAAAAAATAATTTATATTTAATATTTTACAAAATTTATTAGCTTTAAATAAAGTAAACCGAGACGACCTTATTATCGTCCATGACGGTGTTGAGTGATTCGATCCACATGGGGTCGATATCCCCATCAAGGACGATCCACTTCGGTCCGTCGTGAGTCTGGTAGGCCAGATCTCTCATGATCACCGAGAACAAACCTGGGGAAGAAAAAAAATTTGTAAGATGACGCGATGCCCCGCTTCTAATACGAATGGAAGTTGCAGTATTTAAAAAAATCATTAATAACATTTTAAACAGTAAAAAGCCGTTTTATTGAAGAAAGAAAAAATTAAATTATTGCTAAAACTGAAACATCGTTATTATCGTTATTGCGTTTTGTTGAAAAAATATAAAACCTGTTCACTACACACAAACCACACACACACACACACACACAAACCTACGAACACACACATTTACACCTGCCAACCAGCTAACTAACCATCCTTCCACTCTCTGGTAGAGGGATTGATGACTCCAAACAGTTCATTGTTGGTGACGGCCTTGGGGTCTAGATCAATGGCGACAGGTTTCTTCCGGAGGTTTTGGTTGGTTTTGAAGAGGGACTTCCACACCATACTCTTGCCCGTCCCTGAGTTGCCCACTATAAAAACCGAATGTCGAACCTCGAACAGCTCTTGGAGTTGTACAACCTGAAAACATAATTAGAAATTCAGTCAGGCCGATAATTTCAGCTTAAATAGATCAATTTTGAATAAAATAATGTTGAAAATAAAAATACCACACACCGCCAATTTAAAAAATTAAAACAATGAAACCATCTGTCATGACCTTTAGCACGAAGCTATCTTCAGCTTGCAACTTCAAATCCAGGATCGCTTCTTTAACTTTCTTCTCAAAATCCAAATCACGTTTCCGCGGCACATCGAGAGCGGGAAACAAGTCCCCAATGAGTCCCATAAAGACCGGAAGGTCATCCGTTATGATCTTTGGAATGTTGAAGTCTCTCAGTGCTCTCATTAAGACCTCAAATATTACAGGAAACGGATCAACATATCGAATAGTGAAAAGTGGAAATCCATTTTGATTTCGTTAGAAAGTAATTTGATAATTTTAATGATTACGATGGAGATAATGAAAATAAAGAGTCATTATAATGACAATGATGACGTGATGACGACGACGACGGCCATGGTGATGACGATTTAAATAAATAAAATGTTCTACTTGATCTTCCGCCCGGCCCGAATCGCTTCTTTTCAGCTTGCCGGCTACGACCAATACGGATTTTATGGCTCTCAAGCCCCAGTCATAATGGTCCTGACGATAAGATGATGATGACGACGACGACGATGATGACAGTGACAATAACGATGATGATGGCATTCTAAAGCAAAACCAACTAACTAAACTGCTTGCAATTAAATTTTTCTCTTTCAACTAAATCGGGGGAAATAAAATTACTTGTTTGGAAAGAAGCTCCTTGCATAGTGTATACAGCGTAATGAACTTTCTCGCTAGCAGTCTCGCGTCTAAAAACCCTTCTGCCACCAGCATAATCTCACAAATCAACTCAAAATCTGGAACCACCATAGCACACGGTCTACAAGGTTGGAACAATTTATTTTTACAAATAAATTTAAGCACCTTAAAACGGCCTTCAAACGACATTTGTTCTCAGGCATTTACGCTAGAGAGGTTCGCTATTTTAAGGTTTGATTTGTTTTTGAAAGAGAAGGGTTCTTCTAAGAGTAAATTCTCACAAACATCACAGCCACAGCGAACAATCGAACCAACCTGAATAGGGCTTTCAAATTTTCAGGCAGCTCAGTCCTACCGGCATAGCCAGGGTTCATCGTGATGAAGATGCCGACCGTTGGTACCAGTGTGATCAGCTCGCCGATGAAGTTAAATGCCTTCTTCCTGTCTTTTATGGCGTCCTACATGTGTTTCAACATTCGAAAAATTAATATTTCTTTACGAAATTTACTAAACTCTCAAAAATTAAAATACTTGAGAATAAAAAAGCATTAACGCTAATGACAACCGAAACAACTGATGACCTGTATGGACTTGACCTGGACAGCCACCACGGACAGCACCTCCACAGATATCCTGTTGAACTCATCGAAGCACCCCCAGGCTCCGGATTGAGCCAGGCCCTTGTATATGTTGCCTATGGACTGGTGGTTGCCATTGAAAAGAAAAGTCTCAAAAGTAGGTAAATAAGTTGAATATGATTTCGATTAAAGAACTTAATCAATCGATTGATAAGGAATCGTTTTAATTAAAATATTTTGATGGAATTAAACTGTTTTCTAAAGCACTATATTTTTTAAACTCGAGAATTCTCATAAATAAATACGAAAGTTAAATTTAAAACAAAGAAAAAAATTAATCAAATCATGAAAATGTGAACCTTGTAATCCATCTGTTCGGAGCAGTTGAAAACGTACACCATGACGCCGAGGGCTCTGCCCAAGTCCTTCGTTGTTTCAGTCTTGCCCGTACCAGCGGGTCCTGCCGGTGCCCCGCTCATCATCAGGTGCAAGGATTGAGTCAGGGTTATGTAACATCTGTCGTGTGTGTGTGTGTGTGTGTGTGTGTGTGTGTGTGTGTGTGGTGTGTGTGTGTTTGTGTGTACTTCAGATTCATAATTTTGTTTTTGTAGATAGCAAACACCAGTCAACCTGTCAGTGAGAGGAGTGATGACGAGACGAGGTGTGTTACCGAGGTACTCGTGCATGTATTTGAACTGCGCATCGCAGATGTTCGCGAAACAATCCTTCTCCGCATCCGACCACCTGTGGCGGAGTTGAGACAACCAGGCGAACGCTTGTGAATGCTCTACCTGCATGCGTGTGTGTGTTTGCGTGTGTGTGTTTGCGTGTGTGTGTGTGCGCGCGCGCGCGCGCGTGTGTGTGTGTGTGTGTGTGTGTGTGTGTGTTGTGTTTACGTCATTGTGTCAAACTAAATCTTTTAGGAATGAATAACTTTGTAATAAGAGAAATAAATCTGAAGAAGAGGCAAATGATGGAAAGGACCTTTTGGGCGATGAGTTTGCTGATGACATCTCTATTGTGTACCTCGATCGTGCAGATGGTCATGATCTTCTGGCGATCGCCTTCCGTCAACTTTCCAGTCAACATCATTATCAGGACATTCAGCTGACTGATCTGAAGTTATGATGTTCAAATCGAGTTAAAAAATCATGTACTTCTTGGGAGGTCATTTATAAGTTTACTCAACAAACCTGCTTTTTGTTGAATTCTTTCAACGCATTCTCGTACCCCTCCTCCAACCTTCGTGAATAAACAAATAAACAGCCCGACATAAAAAGGCCAACCATACAACGCCCAAAAACATTTGATCCAACAACGTAACGAACCTCTGGAAAGCCATGTTAACCTCGGTGCACCACCAGATTTGGACGCTGACCAGGGCTGGTTGGGCAGGGGGCTCAAAGATCCAGATCTCTCTCGGCTTTTCCTCGTAAGATGCCACAGCCTCCGTTATCTCCTGCTTCACTGACAGGCAGTGTACGATCAGTAGCTGCATCAGCCACACTTCAACCTGGTTGTTGGAGAAAGATAAAAGTAGTGGGAATGTGGAGTTGTCGTCGTTTTAATGTTATTAGTATTATATAACCAAGTGCTTATAGCAAGTCGGCATATAGGTTTTTTTTAAATAATTACATTCTCAATATTATTTCACTCTCAAATTCAAAATTTAATTAGCACCGCCCTAAGTTAATATAACAACATTAAAAATTTCAATAACACTCCAACCAACCTGCCCCTCACAATCGCATGGACTGGGGGATAGGGTGACGTATTCCCCATCCTTGCTGGTCATCCCGATCGCTCGTTTGGTAGGGTTGCCCTCGGAGTCCAGTTCGAATGTCAACTTGGCCATGCTGTCAAATAATTTGGTTAGGTGGCGGGCAACCTTTCAAGTGCAGACATCATTTCAAGTATTTCAGTAAAATACAAAATTTTTAATATATCAAAAAAAAAATTTAGAAAGCAATATAAAAAATGAAACGAACCGCGATAGGATTGTTTCCATTCGATAGGATGTCCAACAAGTCAACAGATGACACGAAATAGAACCTCGGGAAGGCCAGTCTCTTCGTCTCCAGGTAGTTCGATAGGGCTTTCTCACACAGGGTCAGTTGGTTTTGCAGGGCCTCCAATGTAGGGTAGAGGTTCGGTTGGTTGGTCGCCTCCACTACATTCTTCGTTTTTTCAATGTCTTTCACTAGAAGCTGAAGAAGTTTTTGAATACTTGTTGAGGTAATTTTTATTTTTAATATAGTGTAAGAAAAATGGGTTGCGAGTGATCGAGTGGAAAAATAACTGAACCTTAAAATCGCTATCGATGTAATCAAATCTCATGGTGTCCTCGGGAAGTTGCTTCCTGATGTCCTCCGATCCGATGAAGATGCTTTCCAGGTGCATCCACGTCCGCTGAACCTCCATGTAGATCGTTATCACCTGTCATTGCATTTAATAGCTTAATGTCAATATTTATAAATTCATTTTTTTTTTAAATTAATTTGCATAACGAACTTGGTCGGCAGTAGATAACTTTTGCTGCCATTCAGAGACCTCATCGAGGAAATGAGCGATGAACTTTGAACTCAACATGTTCTGTAGTTGGATCTGAAATAAGTCAAATGAAGAATATTATTTATTCATTTGTTTATTTAATCACATATTTATTTATTTACTCATTCATTTACTCATTCATTTATTTATCAGTTTATAAACGCATTAACTCGTCCATCAACTCGTGTGTTATGACTCCCCGTGTCATGTCACCTGGTTGTCGGCCATGATCTCGAGCATTTCCTCGCTAGCCTTCAAGAGGGTGACCTTGGTGCGCTGGTGGACCTCGTGTTCGAACTCCATGATGGCCCAGGTGTTGTTCAGCTCCTTCAAAATCTTCTCCATGCTCATCTCCTTCACCGCCTTATCCACGATTGTCTTCACTTCCTCCTCGTAGTTGTGCAAGTTCAACGAGAGTAGGTCGGCTAATGTTGTACGATTAGTCAGACTGAACTGAACCTATGTTGTCCGTGGAACATTTTTTTCATTAAATTTTCATCTTTTATCTTACATGTACAGACGTGCATGTATTTTCGTTCACGTAGTCGTTATAGCAGGCGCACACCTACCTACGCGTGTTTAGTCAATGAGGCCACATACTTACCCCAGTCGTTTCCATCAGTTCCATCCAGTGTCTGTCTCTTATTGCTGAGTTCTGCAGTTCGGTCACTGATTTCAACGAAGTGACCAAATTTTTTGCGACATTTTCAGTTCCTATGTAGACGTCCCATGAACGCATCTCTTTATCCAAACCCTTGAGATCTTTCGAAAACTTCTTACACTCCGTATCCATGAAATCGATGTTAATTTCCTTCCACGGAGTTTTCTTCCAGAATTCAATGGTATTCCTGATAACGTATGTGTAGTCCCAAAGATTCTTCAGCATCGTTAGTTCCTTGCGGCACTGTTTCAATTGTTTGAAATCCGGAATCGAAACTTCCAACAAAGATCCTCTTATCAACATCACAGAAAGTTCTGTCTCTAAGTCAACCACGCTGGAGTTCACCTAAGAAGAACAATTCATTTTGTGAACAGTTGAATCAGTCGCGCTGTTAATAAACTCATCTCCTTACTTCGTCCATTAATTTATAAGGTTCATCGCAATCAAAGTAGAATGCTCTGATCCGTTTGAAATCCTCCCGAAACTCCTGCTGCTTCACCTCCAGTACTGAAACGTTCTTTTTCAGCAAACCAACTTCGTAAGAGATGAGTGGAGTCAGTTGTTGTTTTACGACAACCGCCTTCTTCTTTGTACTTATCCATTTGTCTGGCAGTACCTGAGTGCCATTCATAGAAGAAATAACTTTTAATTTTATACATTTGATCGTTGTTGGTTGACTCAGCTGACCTGTAACTGCTGGGAAACTTCCTCGGGCAGATCTTCCTGGTACTGCTTCAGTAACTCAATGATCAACTTCAACGGTTCGAACATCTCGTCAGTCTTCTGCTGCCGTTCCTTCACCTTGGCCAGTATGGACATGAGGTCAACGAGGGCATCGATGTCGCCCTCCACCAACTCCCGCTGCAGGCCCTGGTTCACCTCCACTATGAACTTCTCCAGGTTATTCAAACTTTAAATAATTTTTTTTTATAAAATATCCAAACTAATCAAAAAACAACTCGACAATTCATTTAAATTGAAGACTATAATTTTTTTAAACAGTCTGAAAAAATTTGAAAATATAAATGACGTGAGGTAATTTGAAACAGGAAAACCTGTTGACGACATGATTGGCGAGGTGTCGCCTCATCATCTTGATCCACTTGTTCACCTCCCTCAAGAGACTCGTCAGGAATGGTTTGGCGTCGATACGAAACCAGTTCTCAATCAGCGTAAAAGGCTCCATCTTCTCAATGCCAGCGTACATTTCCTCGAAAAACTCAATCTAACAAAAAATTATTTTTTAAAAGGAACCTTGAATTTAAAGCTGAACAATTTTTTATTATAAATCATTTTTTAATTTTTGATAAATAAATTAGAAAAATAACTGGGGCATACTTTTTCTTTGAATTGTTTCAAAGAAGGCGGAGTGAACAGAATATTTTCACTATCCATTAACGTTATCTCCTCCCTGGTCAAGATGTGACCGAAGCAGAGGAACTGCTGCATAAACTCGTGCCTGTTGTCCAGCCAGAGACTTTGATACGGGTCGAATGAATCCATGTACAGTAGGGACTTGCTCATTATGTTCGTCACGTGCTGCATCAACTCCGTACGAAGATTTGTCAGTTCTGGTAAATCTTCCATTTGAGGCTAGTGTCATTAAAACCAATCTGTCATACAATCAGACTAGCAAACGAACAACCAATCAATTGATTCTCAATCAATCAATCAAAATAATGTACGCAATTATTTTTCTAATGTTTAAAAGCATTAAAAAAGACAAAATGATCAGATGAGACGTTTTTGCAAATTTCGATATTTAAAATTTACACTAGTGTTTAATTATTATATTGAAAAAATTGTTTAATTTTGTTCTAGTTTAATACAACTCTAACATCGCCAACCTGATAGTTCTTCTGATTACTATGTTCGGACACTCGTTTGATCTTAGCAGCCTGCCTGTAGATGTCGCCGGCCAGGCCGTCAATCATGTCGTAGAAGCCGTCTGCTATGCCGAACTGCATGGCTGGCTTGAAGAACATCTCCGGCACCTTATTAGGTGTGAATCAGGTGGTGGTGGGAAAATTTATATAAAATTACACCAACGATATCTGAAATTAAAATAACAATGCTGTTTATTCTGAATAAATAAAGGTATTTTAAAATGTTATATTTAAATAAGATGTTTCATCTTGAGTGCGGTCAAACATCAAATCATAGCAAAATAATTAAAACTATCATATACTAAATTGAATTTACACACTTTAAAAACAAAAACTACTACTATAGCTACTGCCTTTATTGCAACTACTACTACTACTACTGCAACTACTGCTACAACTACTATTACAGCTGCTACTACTACAGCTACTGCTACAGCAGTTACTACTACAACAACATCAGCAGCTACATATTACTCACAACAAGATCTAGAACGGTTTCAAAGAGAGGCTCGCAATCGGCCATGTTGGCCGTGTTGTCTACCAGGAACTTGAGACTGCACTCGATGATCTTGAAGAAGCCGTCTGATACGATCTCGTCGATATAGTCAATGTAGGCCAGCCAGTAGTTTACGTCCTCGCTGGCGTCACCGACTTTCAGCAGCTCGCGATTTTGCTGTAGTTATGAATGAATCTTTAATTTTGTTCCGTTACCATGTTATTATATTTTATCATTGTGATTTGAGAATCCATAAAATGTATTATTCAGATTTTTATGATGAAAAATTTGAAAAATGCAAATACAACGAGCATCCAACACACAGTACACACACAGCCAACACACACAGTACACACAGTACACACACACATATATACAGTACACACATACACAGTACACACATACGCACATACGCACACGCACGTACACACACGCACTCACACACGTACATCGATGAGGTCGTGGATTAGGTTGCCAGCAGTTTTGATCTCGTTGTACCTTCTGCGTGCCCTCTCTTCAGCATCCTTGAAGGACAACAAACTGGAGCCCTTTTCCTCAGAACGATCAAACAATGGCACCTGGATGGACAACACCATATAATTGTTCAACATCACATCAACAACATCAACGGTAACGTTAACAACTTTCAGTAGCATCAATCAATAACATCAACATCAACGTTGACAACATCAACAATACTACAGCATCACTAATTATAACTTAATTAACAGCGTTATAAACTTCTGAATTTGAACACAGAAGCGAAATTTATTAAAATACAACCGCATAAACATAAATAAATAACTGTAAAAATAACTTTCAGAATAGAATATTTCTTACAACCTTGGACCAGGTGGCCATAATTTTTTGTATCTGTCCGACGTTATCTTTCGATTGTTGAAGCCTCTGCTCAAAGTTGATTACAATCGATTTGATGTTTTGCAGGTATTCGCCAGTACCTTGTTACGTAAATGTTTTTTTTTATATTTCGCATAATAACATCAATGCTAACAGCATCAAGAAAAGTATATGAAGCAGTAGTAGCACTTTTAAATACTTAGTAGCAATGGTAGTAACATCCTCACTTTCATTACTCCAATCTAGAGTTGCTTCAGCCTTAATGAGTAACTCATCGATGTAGGTCAGTTCCGGCAGGATGATTGGATACTCTATTTCTAATACCGTGGTGAGTACCTTCGCGATGACGACGACGACGATGATGAGTGCGAGAATAATAATCATGGTGATGATGGCATTGATGATGACAACGTTAATTTATGATGACGATGGTAACATACAATGAATAAATCGCAAACGCAAATTAGAATAGTACACAGTACAACATGAACATTATACCACAGCCAAAATGCCACAAAACTACCTTATTGTACCTCATAGACACCAGATCCAAGATGGCCCAATAGTTGAGTAGTTCGGTTCTACCGGCAAATAGGCTTATGCATTTATCTGGCAGGTCGGCTGGTAGCACTTGGGTGGATAAGTACTTCATTTCTCTCAAGACTGTCACAAGCTGGACAGTTGTATGGAGAAAAAAATGATGGTGAAGATGATGGCGACGATGATGATGGAGATGGAGGAGATGATGATGGGAACCTATACAGTAGCAGCAGCAGCACAAGAGCAGCAGAAGCAGTACTGACCTTGGTACTTAAATTTGGCCTGATTAGTAACGTTTCCTGGTCCCTAAACAACAGAGGAAACTTCAAACCCTCCAAAACCTCCTCATCAACTTTTTCTGCCCATGATCTAAATACCTCAGTCTCTACCCTATGTGTTTGTGCGTGTGTGTGTGTGTGTGTGTGAGAGTGTATGTGCGTGTGTTTATAGTGTGCGTGTGTGTGTAGTGTCCGTGTGTGTGTGTGAGTGTAAAGTCATTATCATTATTATTGTTATTACATCTTCAGCAGATTGAGCATCTTGTGATAGTGCTTATACATGCGTGTAGCTTCCACGGAATTCATGCAGCTAGGTGGAAAGTAAAAAAAATAACAAAAATTATAAAATTATAATTATGTGAATAATTAAAAATAATTATAACGTGAAATTACAAAATATTGAACAAATTATGTGTGCGTCCGTCAATGGTTTGCCAGGTACGTACGGGTGGTTGACATTGTTGAAGAGGACGATCAACCTATCCATGCGCTCCTTCAGTTCCAGGCAATATTCTATGAAACCCGCCACCTAGGAATATTAAATATTTTTATTCCTACAATTAACTCTATTTTTTTACAATTCATTCATTAATATTTTTAGACGTATTAAGAACAATCACACGGTGTATGAGCGTATTATAGAAGCACGCAAATCCACCTTTCAGAGGCATTGAATGTAAAGGGTGGGGATCTGTTTGCATTGGAACACGGCACAGCAACGACTGACGGCACCTTAACAAACAAGACATCATTCTATAACAACGGTCAACCAAAGATGAGACCATTTGACGACAGGTTTAACCAAAGATGACCAGATTGAATAAAAATTATAAAGATAAAACTGACCTGAGGTTTATTCTTATGCAGTCGGAATCGACCAGTTTTCTGATATCTGGCCATTTGTTTCTTGAAGAGAGAATGGACGTCGAAGAGTTCCTTGTCCGCCATGGACAGCATGCGCGGGTAGTTCGTGTCGAATTGTTGGTGCACCAGAGGGCGATTCAACAGGGAACCAAAGATTGTGCACAACTGTTGTTTAACAGACGTGTGTGTGTGTGTGTGTTCGTGGTGTGTGTTGATGTTTCTTTGTTTCTTTGTCACTTGTTTATTTACATTTATTAACTTTGTTTTACGTGTATGTTTCACATTCTAACGTCATGGCGATGGTTCGATTGATGAATTGATAAAATAAATAAAAAATGAACGAGAGAAGAATGAACTTTGAAGCAACTTTCCAAACTCTCGCAATCGTCGAAGGCCTGGCATGCGATGGTTGCAAGTTTCTGGTCGAGGTCGAACATGGTCGATTGGTAGCGCTCGTAATCTTTCAAGAAGGACTGGTCATTGCAAATGATGGCTCCAGTTTACTTATTTTATTAATTTTCATTTCAGAAAAGAAGTTTCAAAACGGCTCTTAATTTTTATCACAAATGTTTTCTAATTTTCATATAACATGTTAAAAAAGCAGCCAAGCACATGAAAATATTTCCACATGCATAAAGATTCAATTGAAGAACTTTTGCAAAAAAACATAATTAATTACCTATAAAAAAAAACAAATTTTAATTAAATAAATTTCAACAAAGAATACTCTGACGTCATCGGTGAGGTCAAGGGCATCGTAGGTGACTTCCTGGAAAACTTTGAGTAACTCGTTGACATCCTTGAAGAGTGCCGCCGTGCCAGCGTTTAATATCTTTCCCTTCAGACCGCTGTAATCTATCTTCTCCAGTTTCAATAGCTCTATGATGTTCTCGAAGAAATTCTTTTGAATAAAAAAAACGTGTGTATATGAAATATTGCCACACAGATGCACGCACACAAATATGTGTATATGTAGACACACGCATACAAGTTGCTCACACACACACACCAACAGGTACGCAGACACACCTTAAGCAATTCAACCCTGCTGATGAATTTGTCGTACTGATGGAAGACGAGTTGTGTTGAGAAGTCCCACTCCTTCGTGTCGTCGTTCTTGAAGTATGATCGCAGTTGAGTTTGGTAGTGTTTGAAGACTTCTTTGAAGTATATCAGGTTGTTGACTGCTGTTTGGACCTGGTGTTGGTGTTTGTTCAGCAGTTGTTGTTTGGGAGTTTTTAACTTATAAGTCTTGCTTTTTGAGATTTTTGAGTACTTTTCACAAATTTTTAAAAAATCTTTTTATTACATCTACATTCTTCCACTCAGTTGCTAATATTTTTTAGGTTTTATAACATCCCAAGGAACACAAACCTTAACGAGAGTTTCATCAACTTCTCCTTTGAAAATATCATGAGCATCTAAATAAGATCGACACTGTGTGTGTGTGTGTGTGGTGTTGTGTGTGGCGTGTGTGTGTGTGTGGTGTAGTGTGTGTGGTGTGTGTGGTGTTGTGTGTGTGTGATTAACATGACTTGCTCGTCGTAAACTTTCGTTGTAAGGAAGGAAAAAAAATTGATGATGCTTAGATCATGTTTAGGATTAGGAAGACTAACGTTATGAAATTTCAAATGGATGAATTTAATTAAATTTTCATCCAACAATTTTTTGAAAGTAAAATCAAAACATTGAAGCTTTTATTCGAAAGGTTGATAAAACGCTAAAAACATAAAAAAAATTTATTGCCCATAAGCAAAAAAGAAAATAAATTTGAAAAATAAATTAAAAGAAATATAAAAAAAATAAATTTAAAAAAATAAGAAGAGAGACCATGGTGATGAGGAAATTGCAAATTTCTTGCATGAGAACTATAATGCGCTCCGATTTGTTGTAGTAATTGGAGTTGGTCCAAATCAGGCAGAGGCAGTGCATAAGAACGTGGTAGGACATTCTTATGTCTTCAAAACTTTTCGCCTCCATCTCTTCCAAAATCCTCTGCAGAGGTTTTAAGTAGAGGTAGATATCCTGTGCTTCTACGGTCGCTGAAGTTTGTGGTTGTGGAAATGTTTTTATAAGGTTCAAATCATTTTTTAATGCATGAATGTAAAATAATTGTGGATTATAAACTGTAGAAGAGAATTATAATGAATATTTAGAAAGACAGACCGGCCACAACGTCCTGAAACATGCTTTTGAATGTTGCGAAGTAGCTGCTGTTCGCTTTCTCCAAAAATTCTGCAAACATTCTGATCTTTGAACTTTGTAGCTGATGATTTTCAGGTTTTTAAAAAAAAATATTAATTTTTTTAAATTTTATTAATTTCTCGCTCGATGCTATAATTTCATTGAAATCACTTGCAACCTGATCGTAGATACATTCCAGGTTGATACTCTTAACCTTCCAGAACTCAAACTCCACGTACGGCAGAGGCGAGAGGCCATCAAGCAGTGGTTGCGCTGAATCTTTCTTCAACTCGTCGTGTATCTGGTGCGACCATTCTATTAAAACTGTCTCAATTGAGTGGATCAGATTCCTGAAAAACAATCAAAATTTAAATAACGCATGGTTTGACAGAGCTAGTTGGCAAACTAGAGATGTGATGGCGATTAGAGGCGCCTGTTCTTCCTTTCCAGTTACTGGGTTCGAATTCATCTACATAGTGCAATGTGTTGTATGTGTTGTTGGTACCTCTGAACATTGAAAAAGAGAGAACGTCTTTTTAATAACTGCCATCGACGTTACGAACTTGTTTAAAAAGTTGAAATGAGCTTTGTCCATTTTCTCAGTGCCAACTGGCTGAGGCAGAAGTGTCTTGCCCTTGATCTGACCGGTGGTGACGTAGGTCTTGTTTTTCATTGCGCTCACTTGGCGTGCAAGATCCTTGACGACGACGTGTGGCCAGGACGTTTGGTTCATCTTGTTCGTTATTAATGGAAAGATAACCTGTCAAAAGTCGATCGGGGCATAGTTTTCAGACGAGTCACCGATTGGTAATGTTAAAAAATAAAAATTATCAGCTATTGAAATTCAGTGATTTAAAATAAATAATTCAATACTAGAAAATCTGAAATGAAGGAGCAACAAACAGTATGTAACCTCGTCAACAAAACTGTAGAGTTGGTCTATAGGAGATGGAGAAATGTCGCCGTATATTAACAGTTTCCCTAATTTTACGGTCTTGGGCAAGGCTACATTGCTCCTCTTTATGAAATAAAAAGTTTTACTGCCTTTCAATTGTTGCGGCCACTCCAAGGTTGGTTGGACGTGTCCGTTCGATTGATTTACCAAAATTAGTAAAGTTGTACATTCGGGATCGTCAAAAAATGTTTTAAAAACATTTCTATTCTCTTCCATTGAGTACATTTTGACCCATTTATCAGGTTTGGCTTTCAGAGATAAATGCACAAAACGAGAAACGAAATCCACACGTTCGTCAACGACTTCGTCAGCCATTTTTTTAAAATTTAATATAGTTTATTAATAAATAGAATTAAAATAAATTGAAAAAAAAATAAATTTGTCATAAGCAAAAATTCAAATTAAGAATTTAAATAATTTTAGATAACACGCAAAACGTTAAACCTTAAACGTCATGGAAACCATAGTAAGGTGTAGTGGATGTGTTTTGTGGTACCTAATTATTATAATTATTATTATTAAATATTTCATTAAACTACGAGTAAAATGTAATTAAAATATGATTAGAACCATATATATATAATAAATAAATAGATAAATAAAAGGTCGGTTTCGTGCAATTTCCAGCCAATTATTTTCGTAACATTTCAAATGATTGATCATATTCGGGCTATTTGGAATCGCGTTATTTAATGGAAATTCCTGGATTTTTCACATTTTTGCGTATTAATGTACGTGTAATACTACATGAAAAACATCTTTCTAACTCCAGTCCATTGTTATTTCGTAACAAATAAAAACAACCCCAAAAGAATGGCAAGTCCTCCATTTAGAAAAGTTAATTAAATTAACAACAACAACATTTACAGGCAGTAGTCTCCAGCCAGCAAATTTACAATCGAATATAAATTAGCGAAAGCATTAGGAAATTTAATGACCGACTGGTACATTAGTGAAGAAGCCCCCTGCTGCTGAAAGTTGTGACAACATTGTCTTGTCATGTGTCTTGTGTGTTAGCTCAGTGCTAGATAGATAGATGTTCATACCAGCATAGGTACACCTAACAACATTACACGCATTATATCATATACAAATTGTTCTTCGGGAAACGGTTCTTATCAAGTTTCACATCTAGACGTGATGCAACAGATCAAATGTGATAAATTATCACATAATGGCATGTGATCTATCGTTAGACCAGATAGATTATTATTTAATAGCATCATTTGTTTATCTTTTATAGTTTGAGTTATACCAATAAGTAAGGTGAACTATGGGAATACTGAGAGAAATTTGTCTTTAACCAATGTGCGCTTTTTATTTTTATTAAATTAATTAAACTTCCTCAATGAATAAAACCTTTAAAACAATGTTTGTAATTGTCAATATATAAAATGAAGCACAAATCATTAAAAATTTATGAAAAAACTTAACCAAAGTAGCAAACACAGAGACTCTCACATAAAGAACATACATACAAATGAACACACAACATCTTCAGTGGCAAGCAAGCAGGTAGGCAGGTAGGTAGGTTGGCCGGATCGCAGCGGGGAGGCTACCCCGAGGAGCTAACACATTCAAATTATATACACGCACTAATATTCTCCGCTGGCGTGTTTAATTTTAGTTTAATTTTTGTTTATTTTCTGACTAATTGTTCTTTTTTGGTATTAATTTTTTTTTGCATTTACATCTGGTGTTGTTAAAATGGGTATATGTTGTGTTCGTTTAGTTATGGTTATGTTGTTAGGATTCCATGGGTGTTGTATAGGATGTTCAATGTTCATTAATGTTTCTTTGTTTGTTTTAAGCTCGGTCGGTTTTTTATAGATTAGTTAGTTGCATGTGTGTGTGTGTGTGTGTGTGTGTGTGTGTGTGTGTGTGTGTGTGTGTGTGTGTGTGTGTGTGTGTGGTGCGTGAATGTCTGATCATCTTTATATTTAGCTAGCACCATTATTATATCTTTCTTTCTATACATTTCGCTGTAATGGTATTATTACTAGTATTAGTAGTAATAGCAGCAGTGGTAGTTGTGGTAGTAGTACTAGCTGTGTAAGCAGCTGTAGTAGTAGTAGTAGCTATAGTATTCATCTATAAAGAATCAAAGTATAGTATAATATTGATAGTATTAGCGCATTTACTATCGAAGTATTTGCTTATTTTTATTATACATTTCAACCTAATTCATTCACTACCAAAAAGTTGTTAATAAAAATTTCATATTTCTAATAAATAAATCAGTCATTATTGCATAAATTGAACATTACAATGACATATAGATATAAAATAAAGCTCACTCGATCACGTACATAGTGAATTTATTACGAATTTACAAATTTTTTTTTCAAATAATCACTACAAAAATCGTTATTAATGAATAGATTAAAGTTAAATTTACGATAAAAATGTGTTATATTGTTAAAATCTGTTTCAAATAAATTTATAACTTTATTAACAACGCAGTGTTTTAAAATTTACCGAAACATAAAATAAATGGGATTATAAACTAAGAAACAAAAAACTCATGCGGTGACCGATCCGTGTTATCCGTATTATCCCATTCCAGTAAAACGGGAATTAAGGAAATTAACAAAGAAAAGGATTCAAAATTTTAAAATCATCGTCCCATACTGCAAAGTTTTGGACCTGCTACCGCTTTAATGGATATCACCTTCGTTGTTTAATATTCCATTTCAGTATTTTCATTTTAATATTATTCATAAATTCTATAACGTAAATTTGAAAAAAACCACAATAACCTAACAACTGTTAAAACAACAAAATGAATAAGACAACTACACAAACACAACAACACTACAACACTACAACGACAACAATGAAGCAAAAAATCGCCAAAAATAACAACACAAAGCAACCGACATTTCTCTCTCTTTCTTTTCTCTTTCTCTCTCTCTCTCTCTCTCTCTCTCTCTTTCTCTTCTTTCGTTTTCTTCCTTTCTTTTTCTACTTTATTGTCTATTAATTCCACATATTAATAAAAAAAATCGTTGTAGTGATAACCTCATATATTTTTTTCTAATCAATGAACACCACACACTCAAGCTCACACACAACAACAACAATAACACAACAGGAAACCAAACAAGACACCAACCACATCAAATCGCATTTCAAAATACCTTCTCATCATAGAGCACGGACGTTAAAACGTGTATTTTAATAAAATCACATTGGAGCAAGATAAACAATATACTGTTCAAATACACAATCTAATATACCAACACATAATATTAACAATAGACAAAATTCAATGACAGACGCAATGTGCAAAATGCCAAATATAATACAATACACAACCATGAAGTACAAAAACATACAAAACACAAACAATACAAAATACGCAGTACACAATATACACAATGGAAAATACAACACAAAGGGTATTCAGGTTGAAATCTCTCGAAATACCGACCGCCCGTCACGCCTCGTTTATTCTGGGTTCCTCGTTAGACAACAGCCATGCACAAATCTCCATTCAACCATGAATGGCTATTTTATATAATTATCTTTCGTCTTTCGTTTTTGCTACTTTGTTACTCTTTCTCTGTCTCTCTCTCTCTCTCTTTCTTTTCTCTCTCTCTCTCTCTCTGTAACTCTTTTTCTATCAATTTACCTCTCTCTCTTTTATTTTCTCTTTCTGTAACAGATAATTTCCTGAAATAATTTTATAAATTATTTTCCTAATTTTCATTTTGCTAGCCCACCTCAAGAACCGAGCAGTAATTAGCCAGAATGGTCATTGGACCATCTAACAAATCACACGGGAACATTTTTTATTATTAACACTTGCACGGCAATTAATTTATCACTTGAGGCTGTCAGTCACACCATTCAACCAATCAGCAGTCGATCTTTGAGGAGTGGGGCGTGTTCTTTAAAATAATTAACAACAACAACGAGATAACAATCTTAATCCTCCGTCACTTGTCGTTTGATTTGGACTGGCGATAACATTGCTGTCGTCTTGTGTTGAGTGAGGAGTTCTTCTTTGTAATAATAATCGTCATTACCGCTAATTCGGATCATTTAGTTCAATTATTTTTATGATCATTATAATAATTATTGCTGTTATTTTTATTGCTGTTGTTCATAAATCTTTAGCTCGTGTAGTAATAATAATAAATGCCGTTATTATTACTCTGATTAATTCACTCAAATTCGGTTCATGTCTTATGAAAATATACATGCCATTGTGTTGAGTTTGTTTCAAAACTTTAAAACGAACTCATTATAGAAGAAAAATGTTGACTATGCGAACTGCAATGAAGTGATAGTTCTGCTGCTGCTGATGTTTTTGTTATTGTGATATTATTTTGATGATTCGACCGAAAGTTTACAATTATTATTTTTCTTGCTTGGTATTGTAATATTCAGCTGAGCATAATTAAAACGATTTTTATGGATACATCATCAGCAATGAAAGAATTATAATGAATTAGAATGAATTTTAGTTTTCCAGGCAAAGCTTTTCAAGCGGAAACGTTGAATTCCAAATCTGCTACCTCACCTCTCACATCAACGCCAACAAATTTGTTAACAAGCTCCTTGTCCTTGAGATCAGATGCTGTTGGAATGGAAGCTTCATCACAAAACATTCATAAGTACAGCAACGCAGCCGACCATCGACAAGAACAAAATGGAGAACATCGATCCAACTTCAACCACAACAATGGCTCAATATTTTGCAGCTCCAATTGGAACGATGGGAATAATTCTTTCACCCAATCTCTCAGCAACATTACATCAACGAACTTCGAACAGCACAACGGCTTCAACTACCATTATCCATTCCATTACACGGCTTCCAAGTATCCTTGCAATTATTCACCCCTCGATATCAACCAGCAAAACAGCAGCACGTTCATTGACAACTTTTTATTTCGACCGAGAAACCACCAAACGAACCCTCAAGATCTGCCCATTTACACCAACTTTTCTGAATTCCCATTCTACTGGAGACATCCGTACACCATTCCAAAACCTGCACCACTTCCGCTAGCTCCTCCAACTACTGCAAAGTTACCACCGATGTCAAGCGCACTCTCTTCAACTCAAATATTTCGTGAAAACATACCGCACCCATTCTTCTCCATGTACGAAAACTCGATGAAAGAGAAACTGAGACTGCAGTTAGAACATAGTTCACAACTGAATCGAACTTTCCAGAGCCACTTGGAAGCAGCAGACAACCGACCTGCTCCGTCTCACTGCCAGTGGATGATCGATGGCAAGACCTGCAACGAGACATTTCATTCGATCAATGACGTAGTAATCCACGTGACGTTGGATCACGTGGGCGGGCCCGACCAGACGGACCACACATGTTACTGGAGGGAATGTCCGAGAAGCAAGAAGCCCTTCAAAGCTAAGTACAAACTGGTCAATCATCTGAGGGTCCACACCGGCGAACGACCCTTCGTTTGTCCCTTTCCAGAATGCTCCAAAATTTTTGCCCGATCGGAAAACCTCAAAATCCACAAAAGAACTCACACGGGTAAGTTACAAATTTATTTTTTTAATTTTAAATTACTTAGATATATTTTCAAATGATGCAACGACACAAATATATAACCAAATGAACAACGTGTAGGTGAAAAATGTTTAAAATAATCCGTAGGTGAGAAGCCATTTGTATGCGACTTTGAAGGTTGTGGCAGGAGGTTCGCCAACAGTTCTGACAGGAAGAAGCATACATTAGTGCACACCACCGACAAACCGTACGTTTGCAAATATGAATCCTGTGAGAAAAGTTACACGCATCCATCGTCGCTCAGGAAACACTTGAAAACACACAGCCGACAGTCACATTCCAGCGGCCAAAATGATCACATCGACGAGAACTCCGTCTCACCAGCCACAAACCATCTAACAAACAACCACCAAACTGAAGAGAACATCAGCAGCTTAACTGAGATGGAGCTGTCGACACAAAGCGATGACACGACAAACCACAAAACTTCAATTCAACGACAGTACAGCCAATCGTCCGAATATACCTCAGACAATGTACTGAACCAATACACAAACTCGACCGGTACTGCGACTTGCAAGAAATCTCTATGCACCGACAACCCACAGGTAACTGATCGACAACAGACCACGAATCATTTCGTCAGCGGAGACCTAGGCACCCCCTACTCTTCACTGCAGGATGCCAGCGGCTTGTACAACCCACTGATGAACATCAACTTTTTCCCACCGACTTACATTTAAATTTGAAATGAATTACAATAATGAAACAGTATTCCAGAGATTACATTCACCTGCATAAAAACGACATCACATCAAGTTTTTTTTTTCGTATTGTATTTTAAAACCTGACAACGTGTGAATGTACAGTCTGCTTGCTTGCTAGTTGGTCACTTTAAGGCGACTTTAACATAGCGAGATATAATACAGCAATTAAGGAAATTATTGAATGAACTTTTGTAAAAAAAAAAACATCGTTAATGATTAATGAATACATAGCACATGCAGCATTTGAAGCATTTTAACTGTCGTAAGAAATTCAAATGAATTCAATATTGATAATGATTTACAATCATTTTTAATAAAAACGAATTTACAAAGAATATTAACAAAAAAAAAAATTAATAACAGCAAAATCAAATCAAAACAATAAAATTTAGAACATTGGTGGACACACTGGACAGGACACACACACACACACACACACACACACACGTACACACACATCTCGAAATTACATCACAATAATATTTAATTATAAAAAAAAATAACACTAATTAATGGGTAGAGTCAGTGCGTAATTTTGAATGCACTCTTAACAACTCGCACGACCGCGCCTGCATACATGCACGCAAAAATACAAAATATTAAGACACAATCCAAATTAAAAATTAATAAAGTAAGCATGGAAACATGCGAGCATGTACTGTACATATAATATAAGCCTCGTGTTGTACGTCAGTGAACGTTGATACTAAGATAATGATTTACATTCTGTCTGTTAAGCTTTAAAGGTAATGATAAGAAAATAGAAATGATTACAATGTTACATTTGTCGACAAGTTTTTATAAAAAAAAATGAATGAATCACATTAGCTTATGCACTCATTGATTGTATAATTAATAATGACGAAAACTGAAAATGTCATGAAAATGAAGTCTCCGTAATAATCTTTAAGGAAATGCACGGCAATGGTATTTAGAGTTTAAAATCAAGACGGGTACAAGTTTCAAGGCACGCAGAGCAGAAAAGCAGTACGATGTGAGAGTGTACAAAAAAGTAGCACTTTACTAAAATATGATCAAGTACACGCACACATTTATAAGCATATACACAGCCACACGCAAACAAAAGGACAAACATGCACGCACACACGCACACACACATATACGAAATAAAAAAAATGAATTAAAAAATATTTTTAAAATAAAATCGTAACAAAATAAATATCTCAAAGCAGTTAGTTACCATGCATCAAATGGAATGAAATTTAATGGATTATCACCACCATTATTAGACTATCAACTGATGGGAAAAAATTAAGAAAAATAAATGGTGAATAAAAATAGGTTGAGTCTCAACACAATTTCAATACTAGAACACAATGACGTAATAATTAATAATAATAATTATTATCATTATTATAAAAGCAATATGGTAATATAAAGCCATTCAAACAGATAGGTGGTGGTTTAATGAGAAGATAAATGCAATGTCTGTGTCAGGTCGATTCAAATCGTTATGATACGATACGATACGATACGATTATGGGTTATGCCTGCTCTTGAGAATTTGAGAAAAAGAATGTATATGCAAATTTATACGTTTGTAGCAACAGAAAGAAAATTACTTTCTGTAAAATACTTAGAACGAGTCAGCCAAAAACACTGGTAATCAAGTGAGGTGGAATGCAGATGATTGTATGAAAATTTTAAGAAAAACTATAAACGCATAGCACATATACATACATACACACATGTATGTATGTACATACACACATACGGTAAGATAGATAATCAATCATAAAAACCTTCCCCACATGTGTTGCACCTTATAAATATGGAGTAAAGATCATCTGACAGGTAAATTGTACTTCATAAATATTCATTCATTCTCTCTCTCTTTCTCTCTAGCTATATATAAAAATTATATATATATATTACATATTAATGTATATATAGATATATACACAATATATATACACATATATACACATAAATATAAAAATATTCAAAGAATATACAGACTTATTTATATATATATTTATAAATACAAGACAAATTTTAAAAAAAAAACTTTTACAAATAAAACGAAACAAAATATAAAAAATGATTAAAAAACATTTTTTTTGAGAAGAAAAAAAGTTAGAAAAGAGGAGAAGAAGTCATTGTAGAAGGAGATTGTCGAGATTATTGGAGAGGATGGTCTTTCGAACGTCTTTAAAAACGTGCTTTATATTTTCTGTGTCGACAGCCGTGGTGAAATGGTGGTAGAGTGGCTTCGGTCGATCCTTCACTAACACTGTAAAATTCTCTAGAAGAAACTTCTGGACGTCTTGCACTGACCTCGGGTCGCCAACGAAGGTCGGGAAGATGGTGGAAATGTCAGAGGTCCTGACCTTTTCGTGTAGGAGGTCTGTCTTATTGAGGAAGAGTATGATGGAAATCTAGAGTGGGAAAATCGATTTTTTTTTATTCATTTATATTTTATTTTTTTTATTTTAAATATTTTAAAAAAAGTGAAATTCTGATGATTTTTGAGGGGAATAAAAAATACTAAATGATTTACTACAAGTCATTTAATTATATTTCAAAAAATTTGATAGTTCTATATCTATATCTATATCTATATATATATATATATATATATATATATATATATATATATATATATATATATATATATATATATGCAGTATAACTGAGCCAAGAGGTTGGTTAACAAAAGTACACTATGGCTACACTGACAAACATTATAGCAATAGAATCATTTTCTCAAGCTCTGAGAAAGAAACCAGTGAAAAAAAATAATTCATTCATTTCTATAAATACATTCATAAAACAATTATATCTACTTTGGTACAATTATAACTCATCATAATAATAACAATTATAATAATTAATAATAACTGCACCATCT